TATTCTCAGTCCTCATCCTCCTTCTGGAGACAGAAAGGTAGCTCACTAGATAGAATGCTGGACCTGGAACTAGGAATAACTGAGTTCAAATCTGGTGTCATTTAGTAGCTGTGTGACCCTGAGTAAGTCACCTAACCTCACTGAACCTCAGTTTCTTCATCTGTAAAATGAAGATAATAATAATCCTAAGATTGTTGTGAGAATCAAATGAGACAATATTTATAAAACACCTAGTTATATAAATGCTAGCTATTATTAGCTGCAATGATTATTTTTTACCTCCCTGCAGCCTATGATGCTGCCAATCACCCTTTTCTCTTTGATACTCTCTCCTCTCTAGGTTTTTGTGACCCTGGTTTTCTCCTAGTTCTCCTTCTACTTATCCGACAGTTCCTTCATGCCTGCTAATCATAAGTGACCACCCAGGCTCTGTCATAGGCCCTCTTCTCTTCACTTCTCTCTATACTATCTCCTTTGGTGATCTCATCAGTTCCCATGGATTCAGTTGTCATCTCTCTGCAGTTCATTCTCAGATCTACACGTCCAGTCCAAGTCTGTCTCTTGAGCTCCAGACTCACACCACCAAATGCCTTTTGAACATCTCAGATTAAATATTCAAACTCATTGTGTCCAAAAAATGAACTCATTATGTTTCCCACCAAAACTTTCCCCTTTTCCAACTTTCCTATTTTGGTCAAAGGCAACACCGTTTTCCCAGGCACCTAGACCTAAAGATCATCCTCAACTCCTCCCTCTAACTTATCCCATATACCCAATCTGTTGCCAAGTCTGGTTTTCACTTTCACCATATCACTCCTCAATGTCCCCTTTCACTCCTCAATGTCCCCTTTTCTATACTCATGTAGCCACCACCCTGATACAGGCCCTCATCACCTCATGCCCGACCTATTCCAATAATCTGGTGGCTGGTCTCCCTGTCTCAAATTTTTCCCCACTCCAGCCATCATTCAGCTACCAAAGTGATTTACCTGAATTTCAGGTCTGTTACACCCACATACCCACGCATAACACACATACACCATAAACATAGAACTACAGTGGCTCCCTATTACCACCAGAATCAAATATAAAATCCTTTGTCATTTAAAGCCGTTTACAACCTGGACTTTTTCTGCTTATCTAGTATGATAATACTTTACTCCCCTCCAGACTATGATCCATCTACACTGACCTTCTTGCATACAACACTTCATCCCCTTGATCCATACCTTTCACTGGCTTCTCCAGGCCCAGAATGTCTTCCCTCCTTACCTCAGCCTTCTGGCTTCCTTCAAGACTCAATTCAAATCCCATCCTCTCAGGAAGCCTTTCCCAATCCTGCCTACTACTAGGACCTTCCCTCTCAGATTGCCTCCCATTCATACCGTACATACATCTTGTATGTACACATATATTTGCATGCTCCCTCCCCATATAGAATGTGAGCTCCTTGAATGCAGGGACCATCTTTTTTGCCTTTTTTTTTGTATCCTCAGAGCTCAATACAGTGCCTAGCATATATTAAGGGCTTAATAAATGTTTGTTGACTGACTTACTCTAAGAAAATTAGACTATTCAATCTTTTCTGCTACCGATTTGCTATATGATATTTAACTATATTGAGTTTTAGTTTCATTACCTAGAAAAGGAGGGGGCTAGTAAGAAAAATGGGGTACAGTGAGAAGAGCCCTAGAATTGGACACAGGAGACATGGCTTTGACTTCCAGCTCTGGTACTATATTAGGTGTGATTCTGGGCAAGTTCTTTCCCCCTCTGGGCCTCAGTCTCACTGGTAAATGATTTTTGGGGTACCTTTTAGCTCTAAATTCTGAATCAGTAATGGAGCTGGAGAACTACAGCTCCAACTACCACATTTTACAAGAATCTCCTTTGTGCTTTGTTAGCTGCCAAATAAATAGCTTTCCAGGTCCACTCCCCGCCTTGCAATTTAGCAACTTCAATTCAAGAAATAATTATTAAGCACCTACCATGTAAAAAACATTCTGATGGGTAGTGTTTATGGCTGTGGCAGAGGTCTGCCATACTTTCCTCACAGAGACCACAGACCCTAAGTGCCCTCCTCAAAGCCAATCAAATGATTTTCATTAAGTTCTTCCTCCTCCATTTAGAGAAGATTGAGCTCAAGTGAGTGGTATGTGTGAAGGAAGGACTCCTGTAGAGCTGTAGTGGTTAAGAACACTATGGAAATAGCAGACCACGGAGTCCTACAGCCCCCTTTTTCCTCCCTCCTATGACACAATCACTGCCTTCAGGTATCTGGTGGGCTGTCATGTAGAAGGATTCAACTCATAAAACTGCAGACCAGGAGCTTGAAGGAACTACTTTTTGTTGTTGTTCAGTTGTTTCAGTCGTGTCTGACTCCATGACCCCATTTGGGGTTTTCTTGGCAAAGAAAGGAGTGGTTTGCCTCTTCCTTCCCCAGCTCATTTTGTATATGAGGAAACTGAGGCAAACAGGGTTAAATGACTCACCTAGGGTCACATAGCTAGTAAGTGTCTGAGGCCAGATTTAAATTCACTAAAATGAGTTTTTCTGACTCCAAGCTTGGCACTTTATCCATTGTGCCACCTAGCTGCCCCTAAAGGAACTACTTAAAGGTCATCTAGTCCAGCACTTTTTAAACTGCGGGTCATGACCCTATGTGGAGTCACATAACTGAATGTGGGGGTCACGAAAAATTTGGCAACAGTAAAAGGTTTCTAAACACACAGTGACCAAAATTTAATTCAAAATCAAAAGCGTAATGAATCCAAGGTGTTTCTGGAAGTGTTCCTTAGTGTGACCAGCATGTGCAGTGCAAAGTGCGAGTGTTGAGGGGCAGCTAGGTGGCACAGTGGACAGAGCACCAGCCCTGGAGTCAGGAGGACTGGAGTTCAAATCTGGCCTCAGACACATAACACTCGCTAGCTGTGTGACCCTGAGCAAGTCACTTAACCCCAATTGCCCTCACCAAAAACAAAAAAAACAAAAGTGTGAGTGTTGTGTGTCCACAACCAAGGCTACAGTGAAGTTGCACAATGCAGCCCAAGTAAGCACTGCCAGAAACACCTCAGCTCAGATTTGAGACTATTGTATTTTATGAATTGCAGTATTTTTACTGTACATACAAAATCATTAAATGAATTTTGGGTTGGGATTAGGACAGAATTTCCAACAGTTTCTGAAATGGTACTACACGTACCATTTTGTACTATATATTTATGTGAAGCGGCATTCTTAGCATTGACAATTATAAATCAAAATATTGATCAACTCTGAAAAATGTTGAAGATGCTCTATATCCTACGGTATCAAATATTCCACCAAGATTTAATTCTTTATGTAAAAATAAATAAGCACATCCATCTCATTAGTATACAAATTTGCTTTCATCTTAATAAATGGCAAAATTATATGTATACCAAAGAATTGTTTTAAAATAAGTTTCTTTTTGATTTATTATCAGTAAATGTTTGATTTATATACCTATGTACCTGGGGTCACATAAAAATTTCTCCAGAGAAAAGGGTCATGAATAAAAAAAATTTAAGAAGTCCTAATTTGCAGTTCAGTCCCCTAATTTTACAGATGGGGAAACTTAATCACACAGAGATTAAATAACTCAACTAAAATCACACAGATGAGTGGCAGAGCCAGTATACCTGCTGTGATTAGCCCCAAAATTTAGAGTTAAGACCAAGGGTGGAAGGTTCAGGGAGATTTCGTCCCCAGTAGAAGATTTACCAGAGGACATGAACAAGAGTTGCAGGGGATGAGAAGTTTGGATACTTTGTTATCTGAACCATTGGAGAAAAAAACCACATTAATGAGATTATAAATCCAAAAGTATTGAAAGTATTTATGTAGTACTTTGAACCTTGAGTACTCCAATACTCTAATGATTCTTATATTTTAAGGCTTTATTTAATATGAGGTATTATCATTATTATTTGTTGGGTTAAATGGAAATAAAAATTGTCAATAGAAATAGATACAAAAATCAGTAGAATGGGATTGGAACATTTTTATTCCAACCCCCTTACAATCACTTTGTGTTGTTTGAAGTTTTTATTCCCACCAAAGGGTATTTTATGGAATGTTTAAAGGATCTGGTCAATCCCAGGAGTCAGCTTACTGAGGTGCCTAGAAATTTCACTGTGGCTCCTACTAGAATTTGCAATGCAATTGTTTAAGAAATTACAAAAATCCACTCTATACTTCCTGCCCACGTACATTTGAAAAGTTCATCACACTGGAGAGCCTCACTCTTCGTAGATATCTGTGGGGAGCCAATCGGGGTGTTCCCAAGGCTTCTCAGATGCTGCTACACTTGCTTCACCTGCCTAAAAGGAAAACAACCGATGCCTGAAGAACCAACCACTATCCTGAAAGTAGTCCAGGAGTACTGCCGCCAAACATGTTTTAGCTCCTTGTGTGTTGCGTTCCAGAGGCCCTTAGAGGTCCTTTTGCAGACCCTAAGTGACTGTAATTTTAGATTAGAATCAATGCCCTCCAGAAATAAGCCATCTCATCTCCAGCCCCTTCTTTCTAAGCTGAAAATTGCATCTGGTTCCTGAATCCGAAGCAAACTTGTCAAAGCTGTAGTTTAAAGTTACAATTTCCATTTGATACAGTACAGAATAGCTGTGGACTTAACTGGAAGACCTAGGTTCTAATACCAAGTTTGTCACCTCTAAGCCATTCAAACCTGGACAATTCACTTCCCCTTCCAGAGCTTCAGTTCCTTCACCTGTAAAATGGGTATAATAATGGCCTTCCCTATCTCTCAAATAGGGCGGCTGTGAGGAGCAAAGGAGATAATGGATGAGAAGTTACTTTATAAATTATAAAATATCATGTGAATGTATGTGTGTGTGTGTGTGTGTGTGTGTGTGTGTGTGTGTGTGTATACACACATACACAGAGACAAAGAGACAGATGGGGAAGGAGAGAGAGGGATAGTATCATTGTCAGGTAAGAAGGCTAGAATCATTCTGTACCTGCAGCAAGAAGAGATTCATCTTCTGAAACTACCAGAAGCTGCACAGCAGTGGGGACTTTTTCCAGCAGACTGCTTCCCTGAGGGGAGATCTGTTTTGGGGGGGAAGAAAGGGGAGATATATAATAAAATTTTTAATTTAAATTCCCAAAAGATCCACTGAAGATGATTTCCCATGTAATATCAGATTAAGACCGTAGGCGTCACCCATTTTACCTCCCTCCCCCAGTGATTTCACCAAATTAACAGGACTAGCAAGTTAAGTATTCTTTACTGGTTTCTAGGACATACTTCATGCCTTTCAAGGAAATGGGATGATACAGTGTCCTCTCCTCTGACATTTTCTTCCTAGCCCTGCCTCTTATAAGAGAACCCTGCATAATCCCTTCTAGATTAGGTTAAAAATGAAAGAGGGAGCTGTCACCTTCAAGTCTGGACCCTGGAGTTATAAAAGGGAAAATCTTCCTTCTGGGAAGAAAGAAAGCAAACTGTTCTTAAGACTTTTGCTTATTGGCTGCTCTCATGCATGTGCTAGCTAAAAACACTGTTCTTTTTTTTTTTTTTGGCTAGGTAATGGGGTTAAGTGACTTGCCCAGGATCACACAGCTAGTAAGTGTTATGTGTCTGAGGCCACATTTGAACTCAGGTCCTCCTGAATCCAGGGCCGGTGCTCTATCCACTGCGCCACCTAGCTGCCCCTAAACACTGTTCTTGTTCAGTAAACATTATAAACATAGAACTGGTTCTTTCTGACAACAAAAAAAAAAATCCAGTTCATTTTTTTGGCCATCATCAGAGCAGAAAGCTGTGCACAGTTATTCAAAGCTCAGAGCTGTTAACATTGGTCCTTGAATTTCATCCAACTTAACTTGGATCCACTATGGTGCTGTAACTGAGGGGACCAATCAGGGATCAACTGTGATGGATTGAGGTTGATCATTCTTTCCACTATATCATACTGCCTCAGGTAGTAAGTGCCTCATTGCTGGAGCTCTTCAAGCAGAGCTGATTGAGCACTTGTTATGGGTGTTGTAGAAGGTATTTATTCTTGCTTCAGACAGGGTTGCATTACTTGTCTTCTGAAGTACTTTTCAGCTTTAAGATTCTTTGGTTTCATATGCTAGTTATGAGGAGGCAGATTTTAGCTCAGTCTAAGGAAGAACTTTCTAACTATCAAAGCTATCTAACAACCAAACCAGCTACCCTGTAAGGTAGTGAACTTCTTGTCATAGAGATGTTCAAGCAAAGGCTGATTGACCTCAAGCCAAGAATATTATAGAGAAGTTTTATTAACTGGTTAAATAGTTGGAATCAGTAACCTCTACTTATTTCCTCTGGCGCCTTATAGACTAGAAAAAGTACTGGTTTTGGAGTTTGGATACCTATTCAAATCTCAGCTCTAATACTATAAATATGAACTTGGGCAAGATCTTTTACCTCTTTAATCTTCAGTTTCTTCATCTCTGAAGTGGAAATATTTAATCACCTCCCTCACAGTGTTGTGAGAAAAGTGCTATAGATATAATTATTTTTTCATGATTTGTGGCATTGATATGAGTCAGTAGGTTTGTAATGCCTTTCTCCTCCCCTTTTCTATTTCATAGAAATGGAGTATTTTTTATACTGGAAGAGAGTACAATGGCAATTCCATTGCTAATGATTCTTGGGCAATAAATGGCTCACATTTACAAGCACTTTCACATCCATTTTCTCATTTGATCCTCACAACAGTCCTGTGCAAGAGCAGAGTGATCCTAGGTTGTCAGATCTGGAAATTACCTTAGAACTTAAAATTTCAGAACTAACAGACATCTGAGAACTTAGAATGTCAGAGCAGAGAGGGACCTCAGAACACAAAATGTCAGGGATAGAAGGGACCTCAGAACAAGAGATATTAGAGGTAGGAGGAACCTTTGAAACTAAAGCATAGAATGTCAGAGACCAAAGGGGCCTTAAATACTATTGAGTCCAACCCCTTCATTTTATATGTGAAGAAACAGTGGTCTGGAGAAGAAAATCATTCCTTTACAGTTACACTGGCATCTTGGGGAAGCCAGGATTCAAGCCCAGATCTTTATACTCAGATTAAACAGCCTTTCTAAGATATGTAACTTGTCATCCTGGTAGCTAGTCAGGCCGCTCGCTTTTACCAGTGAGCTAATGATAATAATCACCAGAGATGCCTACCAATAGGAGGGAGCCACTGTTGGAGCCTACAACAATCCGTCCTTGCTTCTGGAGGGAGGTCCCGCTAGTCAAGGTTTCTTCCTTCAGGCTGGAGAGATAGTGCTTTGACCTGGATTTTCCAGTGCAAGCATCCCAGGTACTCACAAGCCCTTCTTTAGATACTGTCACAACCCCTGAGCTGAAAGGAAATACTGTGGCCCAAAGCCAAGGATCCCGTCCATCACTCACAATGTGGAAAATAGCTTTTGCAGTTTCCAGGTTCCATGCATTAACCTAAAGGAATGATGAACAGAAATCAATCAGCTTGTGACCTTAACGAGGGTTCTCCTCTCATCAGATAAAAGGTCTACCTTCTTCCACTACGTCTTCCCTTGTAAACTATCTTTCTCTGTAGGGGACAGGAGGGATATCAGAATCATATTCTCAGATACAAATCTATCCAGATTAATCTGAGCTAAGGCTCAACAGAGGCCAATGCTACCCCTAGTAATCTGACCAATTTGAGCTAGCCCCTTAGACTCCCTCTTCACATACAGATACCCAGAAACTAAGGATACCTGACCCTTTTCCATGTAGGAGTCCTTTTCTGTAGGGAACATACAAAGGTGAGACTGATATGCATTTGACCAACAAGGAGGAAGACATGCTTGCTCACACATGAGGCCCCTGTTACAGTCTTGAGAAGTTGAGATCATGCAGTGGAGAGAGGCCTAAATTTAGAATTAGAAAACCTGAGTTCACATCCCAGCCTTGCTACATACTACTTATATAACCTTGGGTAAGTCACTTATGGGCACTATGGGCAGCTAGGTGGCACAGTGCATAGAGTGCCAGGCCTGAAGTCAGGAAGACTTCTCTTCTTCCTGAGTTCAAATCTGGCCTCAGGTACTTACTAGCTGTGTGAACCTAAGTGAGTCACTTAACCCTGTTTGGCCTCCATTTCCCTATCTGTAAAATGAGCTGGAGAAGGTAATGGGAAACCATTCTGGTACCTTTCCCAAGAAAACCCCCAAAAGGGGATGCAAAGAGTTGGACACGACTAGAATGACTGAACAACAACGTGAGGGGGTGATAAGGCATTTCCACTGCCTTTGGAGAACTGCAGGAAGAGGCTGGATGGCCACTGGTAAGGGATGTTGTACAGAAGTTTACTGCTTTGGGTAGAGAGGGTGGGCTAGATGCCTCTAGCACCCTTCCTATCAGTCTGTTATTCTGTCATGATTTCTAGGCTTCTGACTATTGGAGCTATCTGATGACCCAAGCACTCCAGAGAGAACTGCAAAGGTATCAGAAGGTGTTGTCAAAGATAAAACCATTGCCTTCATGACAGCCATCATCACCTTGACCTTTGGTGTATACTCTAAGCCTAAGACATCATGGAAGTTCATGGTACTGGCCAATATACAAGATTTTCCCAGGGCCACACACAAAATAGAGGCATGCAATCAAATCAGTCAATCAACAAGAATTTATTAAGCTCCTGTTGTGTGCCTGGCACCGTATTAGGTGCTGAGGATGCAAAAAAGAAAATAAAAGGCCCCCTCCAGAAGCTTCCATTCCATCAGTGTAGACAATGGGCACATACATACACAAAACATATGCAAAATAAGTAGTCATTTCTAGAAGGAGGCACTAGCATCTGGGGGCATCAGGAAAAGATTCGTGTTCAAGGTGGCATTTGACTGAGGACTTTGTATTTGATCCTAGAGGTTATAGGGAGCCACTGGAGTTTATTGAGCAGAAGGCAGACCTATGCCTCAGGAAAATCACTCTGGCAGCTTTCTGTGGGATGGATTAGAGAAGGGGCAGGAAGATCAATTAGGAGGCTATTGTTATAGTCAGTGCAGAAGGTGATGTGCCGGCCTGAGATGGTGTGAGGCAAAATCAATAAGATTTGCCAATTAATTGAATATGTGGGGTAAGGGAAAGTGAGATGGCAAGGATTACTCTGATGTGAATTTGAATGACTGGCAGGCTGGATGATGGTGTTTGGAGAAGAAAAGAATGGATTCTGTTGAAATCTCATATTCATACTGAGTAGGAGATGCCTTTGGGATATTCAGTTTGAAATTTCTAATAGTTGATGATGGGACTGAAACTCAGAAGAGAGACTAAAGCTAGAAAGATAAATCTGGGAGTCATGCAGCTGATGGTGCAGCGGAGAGAGTGCTGAGCCTGTAGTCAGGAACTGAGCTGCCCCTCCTCAACTGTAAAATCGTGCTAATAATAACACTTACCTCCCAGAGTTGTCAACAAGATTGAATGAGGTAATATTTGTAAAGCGCTCAGCACAGTGCCGGCACAAAGTAAGCACCATATAAATGTTAGGTGTCAGTGCTAATTATCAGCTGCGTAGAGAAATGACAATTCAATCCACAGCATCTAATGAGGCCACTAAGAGAATGTGGAGGTGGAGGAGAGAAGAGGGCCCAGGACAAAACCGTGGGGCGTACCCACAGTTAGGGGGCATGACGTAAATGAAGATCCAGCAAAGGAGGCTACAGTCAGACCAGCAGGTGGAGAATCAAGAGAGATCCATATCAGGAAAGCCTGCAGAGGAGGCAGTGTCCAGGAAGTGAAAGGACAGTCAAAGTTAAGTGCTTCAAAGAGGTTAAGGATGGGTGAGACCTGAGAAAAGGCCATCAGCTTGGCAATTAAGAGATCATTGGAAATAGATGCCTACTGTTCGGGAAATGGAAAAACAGATCGTGCTGCGTGGATATAATGGAATGTGACTGTGCGGTAAGAAATGACAAATATGACAAAAAGAAATAGGGAAAGGCTGAGATAAATTGCACCCAAGTAAAGCAGAGACAAGAAGACAATGCACCCAATGGCTATAACAATAGAAATAAAAAAAAAACATAGCCACTAGACAGTCGAGAGTCAACGTTGTAAAATTGCAAAGTGTCAGCTTGACCACAAGATAGAAATATGAGAAAATACTTTTCCCTATTACTTTGCAAAAGTGGGAGGTCCGTGGCTGTGGAACATTGCATATACTGTCTAAATTTTTGTTGAATTGATCAGTTGTGCTGTTTTTTTTTCTCACTTCCTCTTTTTTTTTTTCCTGCTGAGGCAATCAGGGTTAAGTGACTTGCCCAGGGTCACACAGCTAATAAGTGTCAAGTGTAAGAGGCTGCATTTGAACTCAGGTCCTCCTGACCCCAAGGCCAGAGCTTTATCCACTGTACCACCTAGTTGTCCCACTTCCTCTTTTTCTTTAAAATATAAGTCTTTGTTGGCAAGAGGGATGGCTCTATGGGAAAGGGCAGGAGAAATTTTAGGCTCTGTAAAAACAAAAGGTATTAAATTTTTATTTTAGAAATCATTGTTAACTAGAGAGGGCAGTTTCAGTAAAGTAATGAGATTGAAAGTCAGATCTCTGACTCTGGAGAAGTGAGTGAGAGAAGAGTAGGCATAGCATGTAGGCAGATTGGACTAGTATTGAGCTGTGAAGGGGAGGGGAGATGCAGGGTGATTGTAAGGATGGTAGAGTTAAGTAAGGATTTTTAAAGAGTGTGGAGACGAACATTTTGTACGCAGCAGCCAACAGGGAACCAACAGATAGAGACTGAAGACCGGAGAGAGGAAATGACTTGTGGGGTCATAGGATGGGATAGAATCAGGGGCATATGAAGAAGGAGATGACCTTGGTGAGAAGAGTGATACCTTTAACAGAGACCAGAGAAAAAGAGGGAAAGAATGGGGTATGTTTTATCTAGGAAAGGAAAAGAAAGAAAGGAAAGAAGAGGGGAACTCAGGACTAAAGACTTCTATTTTCTCAACAAACTATGACACAGGGTCCTCTCCTGAGGATGTATAGGAGATTTGAGAAGGTTCAGGACAGCCATGCAAAGTAGAATGAAGACTGAATTTTGAGAGGAGAAACAAACCCACAAGAAAAGTCACTTAGGAATACCAGACCCCCTCCTCCCAGAGCAGCATTACTCTCCTACTGAAAAATTTCACCTGTCTCTCATATCTTCCCTCCTCCCCACAAAGTCCAACAGCTTTGCCATTGCATTATATTGGGCCAGCGTAATACCAAGTCAACATCTCTGGAGCTCCTTGCTTTTATCCAGGCAACCTCAGAGTGGAAGAGGCTGGTGCCCCTCATTAGAAATTTTGTAACTGATGCTACCCCACAGATCACCTGCCTTGCCTCCTGAGTTGTGGTAACTGTTCCCATGATTTGATGATTCGTGTCCTCCATACCTTTGAACCAGATACTGAATACACAACTTTATTCTTTTCATCCACATGAAGGCAACAGAAATGTGGCTCTCTGGGATCAGTAGAGACTCCATCCCAAATGACATACTTCTCCTTGCCAGAAACTAAATTCCATGCACGAAGTGTACGGTCCTTGGAAGCAGAGATGGCATAATTGCCTTGTCCAAATGTTTTCACACACCTCACCTCTCCTATAACACAGGAAAGAGCATTCGCAACACTTGAGATATATTAAAATTTCAACACCCAGAAATGCCAATGGCTTTGAAACAAATGGTCACAATAATGACATTTATAGAGCACTTTAAGGTTTGCAAAGCCCTTTGTTCTGTGGTTTTCAGTCATGTCCAACTCTTTGTGACCCCATTTGGGGTTTTCTTGGCAGAGATACAGGAATGATTTGCCATTTACTTCTCTAGCTCATTTTACAGATGAGGAAACTGGGACAAACAGGGTTAAGTGACTTGCCCAGGGGCACACAGCTAGTGTGCTGCCCCTACTATAAGTGTTGGCTTTGTGTTAAAGATGAAGAAATCGGTACAGATTGGTTAAGTGATTTGCCTAGGGAAACATATCTAAATAAGTGTCAGAGGATTATTTTGAATCTGGGCTCTTCCTAATACCAGCCCTGGCACTCTATTCACTTGCAAGCTTATTTTCACCAAAAAATCTACGCTTTCAAGGCTGATATAGTATATTCTAAATTACATCATTTTTTAAAAGAGCAGTTTAATCATTAACATACATTTTGGTCTTTATTTTACATTTTTATAAAACCATTTTCTGTTAGAACTTATGAAAATAAAGGCAATTGAATATATCTAAGTGGTATAGCCATAGAATCTCAGAGCAAGAAGGGACCTAAGAAGCTGCCATCAAACCCAATCTAGACCTGAACAAAAAGTGGTCTAATCTTCCGCATTCCTGCACAGACCCCTCCCCAGCCATTGTTATTCTGCTTAGGCTCATTCCTGAAAGACTAGCATACTTCCACCCCCTCCTACTCTCTCAATCCTAGTGATTCTGATGCCATCCCACCACCCCCAGCTGTCATCATACAAACCAATTCCTCATTCCCTATGCCCTGTCCCTTACTTTCATTTCCCTGAACCCTGCTCCCCACAATGTTCATGATAAGGGAGTTTGAGAGGTTGTTAGGTGGCTCAGTAGATAGAATGCTGGGCCTGGAGTCAAAAAGACCTGAATTCAAATCTGGCCTCAGACACTTCCTAGCTGTGTGACCCTGGGCATGTCACATAACCCTGTTTGCCTCAGTTTCCTATCTGTAAAGTGAGCTGGTGAAGGAAATGGCAAACCACTTCAGTATCTCTGCCAAAAAACAAAACAAAACCCAATTGGGGTCACAAAGAGTTGGACACGACTGAAAATCACTGAACAACAACAACCCTCTTTCTTCTTGCATATTCTCCCTCTACCATAATCCCTCAGTAACTTCCCCTTTGAGGTCCCTTCATCACCCAGTGAAGATTTTGGTAGCTGTCATCTGCCAACCCCCAGGACATGCCTCCCTTCATATCTTCCCACTCTTCTTATACTTTACTCTCCTCCGTGTAGTCTATGATCCAGCCTTCTTGCTGTTTCTCACACGTGACACTCTGTCTCTTGACTCCATATCCTTTCACAGGCTGCCCACTTCCTACTAACCTCCGCCTCCTAGCAATCTTGGCCTCCTTCAAGACAGCTCAAACACCACCTTCTACAAGAGGCCTTTCCCAGTCTCCCCAACATCAGCACTTCCCACTGCTAGCATGAGACTAGCTTCCACTTACCCTGAAAAATCCCTCTTTCTGAAAGAACCCCATTTAATACTAATGCCTTCCCTCTGAGTTCATCTTCCAACTTATCCTATATAGGGACAGCTAGGTGGTGCAGTGGATAGAGCACCAGCCCTGGAGTTGGGAGGACCTGAGTTCAAATCTGGCCTCAGACACTTGATGCTTACTAGCTGTGTGATCCTGAGCAAGTCACTTAAGCCCAACTGTATCACATACACACACACACACACACACACACACACAAAAGATCACCAAGGCCAATCTATCCTGTATGTATGTGTGTATATAGTTGCTTGCATATTGTCTCCACCATTAGAATGTGTGTTCTTTAAGGGTAGAAAATGTGGTTTTGCCTTTCTTTATGTCCCCAGCACTTAAGTCAGTACTCAGTAATGCTTGCTGACTGACTGACTGATCATTCAGGTTTTGCTTCAATCATACCTCAAGGGCTTCACACCCTACCACCCCAACCAGCCCATTCCATTTTTGGATATCTCTCATTATAAAGTTTTTCATTGCCTTAAATCTAAATCTACCTCTCTGCAACTTCCCCCCTTTATTCCAGGTTCTGCCCTCTGAGGCCAAGTGGACCTTGCCTTTTCCACCTGACAGTCCTTTAAATAAACACATCAGTATAACTATCACATATCCCTCCTAGGGATTGTCTTCGCTAGCTCTGAACACCCCTAATTCCTCACCCAAACCTCCAATGCCATCGTTTCCATGCCCTCCCTATTGCCTCTCATTAAATGATTCTGTGGAGGCCCAGGTCCTCAGAAAGTTGGCTATAGCCATCAGAAGAAATAAATGAGAAAGATGCCCTTTCAGAATCTCACCCGTGTGACCCATTAGGATATGCACCACCTGACTCTCCCGCTTCTGCATGCCCCATACAACCAGGATGCCATTCTGGGATCCAACTATCAAGAGTTTGTTGCTGGAGCTCCACTCTATCACCGTGATGCCTGCAGGAAACACAGAATGAGACACAGAGGAAGAAAAATGGAGAGAGGAGATTGAGATCTCACTTGATGCTAGGAAAGAATGGCTGTGGATTAAGTGCTGGGAGCACATGAATTAGCGGGAGACAATTTTCAAGCTTTTTAAACAGCATGCACATAAGGGAAATATGAGGATTATTACCAATGGACTGTGAGTACTTTCAAGGTGGATTCGTATTTCAAAGAAAATTATTGTTGGAACTAGTTCGAATTCCACCTCTTGCAAAGAAGCCTTCTCTGATTTCTCTCATCCCACCGTTCTCTCTTTGATCTCCCTTGCCTGTTGACTTTGCCTGTGCTTCTGATATGGCTGTTATTTCATTAGGCCTTGTGGGCCTTGTTTGTGTATGTGTCTTATCTTTCCTATTGGACTGCAAACTCTGTGATGATGGAGGGTGGGGTGGGAGGCTGTTCTGTGGTAACTGATGGATTCATCATAGACCTTGCACCAAAGTGGAGGAATAGGTATGAACCCACGGCAACAACAAACACTAGAATATAGAATGTCAGGTCTGGAAAGAGCCTGAAAACATAGGACAGGACTCCTAGAACATACAGCATAGATCAGGGTGGGGAACCTGCGACCTCAAGGCCACATGTGGCCCTCTTGGTCCTCAAGTGTGGCCCTTTGACTGAATCCTTACTAAAAGGATTTGTTCTGTAAAACTTGGATTCGGTCAAAAAGGCTGCATCCAAGGACCTGGAAGGCCACATGTGGTCTTGAGGCCATACCCCTGGCATAGAATATCAAAGTGAAAACAGATCTTATTTGTACAAAAATACTTCTAGCAGCTCTTTTTGTGGTGGCAAAGAATTGGAAAGGGTATGCCCATCAATTGGGGAGTGGCTGAACAGGTTGTGGTGTATGAATGTGGTGGAATACTGTTGTGCTGTGGGAGGTGGTGGGGAAGTAGAGTTGAAGGGAGCCTGGGGGGACTTGTGTGGACTGGCACTGGGTGGGGTGGGCAGAGCCAGGAGGATGCTGTGCACAGTGGCAGCCACGTTGTGTGATGACTTTGATGGCCTTGGCTCTTCTCGGCAGTGCGGGGATCTGGGACATCTCGGGGGTGTCATGTTGGGGGTGCTGTCCATGTCCAGGGAGGGAACTGTGGAGTTTGGATACAGATAGAGGCATACTGTTTGCTCTTTATTTTCTTGTTTTGTTTTGTTTCTTCTTTCTTGTGGTTCCTCCTGTTGGTTCTGATTCTTCTTTACAGCATGGCTAGTGTGAGATGTGTTTGGTGGGAGTGTATGTGTGGAGCCTATGTCAGATTGAGAGCTGTCTTGGGCGGGGAGCAGAGAGGGAGGGAGAGAGAATTTGGAGCTCTGGGGCTTGTGGAGGTGATTGTTGAGAACTAGAGGTGAATTAATTTGAAAAAAAGAATTGGAAATTGAGGTAATGTTCATCAGTTGGGGAATGGCTGAACAAGTTGTGGTATATGATTGTGATGAAATACTATTGTGCTGCAAGAAATAATGAGCAGGATGATTTAAAAAAACCTAAAAAGACTTACATTAACTGATGCAAAGTGAAATGAGCAGAACCAGGAGACATCATGCACAGTAACAGCAATATTGTACAATGATCAACTATGAATGACTTAGCTATTCTCAGCAATACAATGATCCAAGACAATTTCAAAGGACTCATGATGAAAAACACTGTCTACCTCCAGAGAAAGAACTGATGGAGTCTGAGTGCAAATTGAAACACACTACTTTTCACTTAATTTTTTTCATGTTTTTTTTATTTGGGTCTTCTTTCACAACATAATTAATATGGAAATATATTTTGCATGATTGTACATGTATAATCTATATCAAGTTGCTTACTGTCTTGAGGTGGGGGAGGGAGAGAATTTAGAACTCAAAAATTTTTTAAATGTTAAAAATTATTTTATATGTAATTGGGAAAAATAACATATTATTAAAGTTAAGAAGGGGAGGTATTAGAACATAGAATATTAGAGCAGAAAGAGGCCTTAGGGCTCAGATTCTTAAAATCTAGCCAAGGCTCATTCACAAATGTTCAGACTCCCTAAGAGTCTGGCCAATATGGTAGATCTTTAATAAACCTTGTCTTTGGCTGAAAGAAGGCTTGGGTCAAATTCATTCAGGCAGGACCTGTGTGTTGTGATTTTGGGGTCCCAGCACCCCTAAACCTCTAAACCTCAATATTTTGGTGGCCCATATGGTGAAGTTGCCTAACCTCAAGCTCTTCTCCCGCCAAGACTGGAAGGTATGTAAGCCTCCCCCCCTGTTTCTTGCCCTGCAATTGGAGTAGCTCTCCAAGTACCTAGGAAGGCTTGGAGGTGCTTTCCAGGCAGACAGTTAGGAGTCTGTCTCCCACTTGGCCTGACACTCTCAGACTCTCAGTCGACTGGTTTGGTTCGAGGCCAGGGATCTGGGTACACCTTCCACAGCATAGAGGACATGGATGGACTCCCTACCTGGAAACATATGCCCAATTCTGTCAATTCTCTCCCAGCACTAGGGAATTGGGAAAACTGCAGGTGCTTTTTGGTTCCCTGAGGCTTACTTACTCCCTTCCCCGCTACACCCCTGAATCCTCCTTCTTGGAGGTTATAGGGAAAAGTTAGAACAGCTAAAAACGTCTTAGCAGATTTTGGAGGTTTTATGATCAATCATTAAGGAGTTTTGAAACACCTCCTTACAAGCCTGGTCACTCCCTTCTCCCATTCCCTTCCCTTAAATCAAGAGGTATTTTTGTTAACCCCTCTCATAGGAGAAGAGAGTTTCACCCTTCCTCCCTCACCTTCGAATTTGCCCTCCCCCACCTGGCAAAAGGAAGGAGGGGGGAGGGGCAGCAGCTACAGCTTGGGCCCTGGGGCAACCTTTGCCTGGAAGTATCACCCAGGTTTAGCACATCCTGCTCACCCCCCACCCTCACCTTAACCCCCAGCAGCCATGGGGAGAGAGGGAAGAGGGGATGAGTCAAGGTAAAGAAGCTAGCCAGCCTCCAAACTTGGATTTGTGTCTTCCAGACTACAGGCTATTTACCTACAGTTGGTAGAAAACAGCAGGTACCAGCCAATGTCCCCCTCATCGTCCCCTGGATGCAGCCTGTGCTCTGTTCCAGTCAACCTCCTCTTTGGGACCCCCTTGATGCAGGGACAGCTCCTGGCCCCTTGCTAGTAGGAAGCAGTTTCAGAAGCTAAGACCCTCACCTCTTACCCTAAAAAAATTTGAGTCCCGTTTGTTTGAGGGGGGGAATGATGAGGATGGGATCTGAACCCTTAAAAGGAAAAGACCATATCTTTGGGATCTGGACCTCAAAAAAGAAAATCCCTGGACTTTTCCCAAATCTCTGGTGTTTGCCTAATGCTGTAATCCACTCAACTGGCCCCCAATGTCCCAATTCTGTTCTGTTACCTCCTGATTGCCCCTAATCCTATCTAGACTCCATTCTTCTTTGGCCACGTCCAGGTCCCTGGCATTCTATTTCCTTCAGCTTACTTGCCATTCCTGTCTAGATCTTCCTTAGACCTCTCCTCCAGTCACCCCAGACTACTTGGCCACTCCTGGATCTCTCCCAAATCTTTCTGTATATAAGATCCATCTTGTCTCCATTAAAGTGTTCAGATTCTTAAAATCAAGCCAATGGCTGAGATTCTTAAAGTCTAGCCAAGACTCAGATTCTTATAATCTAGTCAATAGCTCATAAATGTTCAGATTCCTTAAGAATCTGGTCAATATGGCGGATCTTTAATAAACCTTGTCTTTGGCTGAAAAAAAAAAGAGAGAGAGACCTTAGGACATAGAGTATCAGAGCTGGAAGGACCCCTAGAACATAGAATGTAGAATGTCAGATATGGGAGGGCCCTTGGGACATAAGAGTTTCAGAACTAAGAAGGACCTTAGAATTTAGAATGTTGGGGCAGCTAGAGCAAGTCACTTAACCCCAATTGCCTCACTTATTAAAAAAAAAAAACAAATGACTTAGAATGTCAGAGCAGAAAAGGAACTTAGAGTGTAGGATATTAGAGGTGGAAGGGGCCATAGAGTATGATAATAACAATAACAGTTATAATTTAAATAGTATTTGAAAGGTTTGAAAAATGCTTTACTTTTTTTTAGGCAGTTGGGATTAAGTGACATGCCCAGGGTCACAGAGCTAATAAGTGTCAAGTGTTTGGTCTGAGGCTAGGATTTGAACTCAGGTCCTCCTGACTTCAGGGCCAGTGCTCTATCTACTGCACCACCTAGCTGCCCAAAAAATGCTTTACTTTTGTTATCTCATTTGATTCTTACAACAGCTCTGTCAGGTAGGTGCTATTGTTTTCTCTAGCTTACAGATGAGGAAACTAAGGCTAAGAGATGTTGAGTGACTTGCCTAGGGTCACACAGCCGGTCTGAGGCAGGATTCAAACTCACGTCTTCCTGAATTCAGGCCCACTATACAACTACATAGAATGTCAGAACCGGAAAGGATCTTGGAACGTAAAATATAAGAGCTTGTAGGGTGCCTGAAAATTATCTAGTTGAACATATCATTTTTTCTTTTTTTTTTTGACATGAACATATTATCTTTAAGAGCACTTTAAAAGTCATTTCATCCAGTCCCTTTATTTAACAAGTAAGGAAACTGAGGCAGAGGAATGATAAATTACCTAAGCTTACATAGTTAATATATAGTAGGGCTAAAATTAAATGTATATCTCTTGATTCCCGTCATACTTCCCTTCATGCTGAGCTGCAAAGCTGTTATTAGGATTTAGGGTAAGCAACATCAAATGTGTGTTCAAATCCATTTTATAAGACGTAGGAAGTTGAAGGGGGGATAGACCCTAGGACGTTGAGAATGAGCAAGAGCATCCCGGCCACACCAGAGAGAAGCTCGCTGAGGTGTTACCAAGTGGGGACAACGAGTGGGGGCAGGGTGAGACCGCACCATTTGTTAGCTTCCTTATTCTTGCTAACTAGGAGCTAAGCTCGGTAGTCTCTAAACTGCTGAAGGCGGTATTAGGACGCTCAGCACCTCCTGGGGCGGTTACCTGGAGCAAAGCCTAAGCCATCCCACCCTAGTTACAGCTTGGCCAAATTGTCCAGTAGTGTTTCTTCAGTTCAGCAAACATATATTAAGCACATGCTGTGCACAGGGCCAGTGCTCCTTGCTGTAATAGATAAAAATTATGTACACTGGCCTCCACTATGAAGCCAGATTTCTTTGTCTGATTAAGGACTGTCATGATTCAACTGTCATTTCTAGAAGTTACTATGGTCAGTTGTTGGGTTAGTTAATTAGATAGATAGATAGATAGATAGATAGATAGATAGATAGATAGATAGATAGATAGATAGATAGACAGATAGACAGACAGACAAGGCAGATAGACAGGTAGATAGATAGATAGATTGATTGATTTATAGACAGACAGACAGACAAGGTGGATAGACAGGTAGATAGATAGATAGATAGATAGATAGATAAACAGATCTGTAGTTCTTTCCTTTCAAAAATAAGCTAAAAGTACCAGTGCCTCTAACTATCCAACCTTTTCGTTCCCCTTGGCTATAGGCTCATTACTAGTATTTATCCTTTATAAATAGTGGCCTCCAGAGATGCTGGTACATCTGAGTCAGCATGAGGCAGCACTTGAGAGTGCCCATGGAACTTCACTCGTGGAAGACGGGAAATCCCAGAGAGGGTCACACAAATCTAGATTCTCCCTATGACGGGAAAGCTGAAGGAAACAACTGCCAGGAAACAAAAAAAAATTTTTTAAAGCAGAGAAAATTGGGTTCCGAAGCAGCTTTAGGGACCTAATGGAATATGGAGCATCCTGTCATACCCAGGCTGTCCCCTTGTACCTGGAATACACTCCCTCCTCTGACTCTTAGAGTCCCCAGTTTCTTTCCAAGTTCAGCTTAAGAGCCTCTTCTACAGGAAGCCTTTCCTCACCTCTACAATGCCCTTTCTCTAAAATGTTGTTGTTCAGTCGTGTGTGATTCCTCATGACCTCATTTGGGGTTTTGTTGGCAAAGGTACTGGAGTGGTTTGCCATTTCCTTCTCCAGCTTATTTTACAGATGAGGAAACTAAGGCAGACAGGGTGAAGTGATTTGCCCAGGGTCACACAGCTAGTAATGGATGTCTGAGGTCAGATTTAAACTCAGGTCCTCTAGACCCCAGACTAGACATTCTATCCACTTAGCCACTTTATCTTGTATTAATTTTGTATATTCTTGTAAATGTACATGTCTCCCTGGTAGAATATAAACTCCTTAAGATCAAATGCTGCATTTTTTTTGTCTTTGTATCTCCAACACCTAGCATAGTACCTGGTACAGAAGGAGGCAATTAACAAATGTTTGTCCACATTCATGAATGCTAGAACTGAAAAAGAACCATAGAAAACAGAATGATAAAGTTGAAAATTACCATAGAACACAGAATATTAGAGCTAGAAAGTACCTTAGAATATAGAATATTGGAACTAGAAATTTCCTCAAAACATAGAACATCAAAGCAGGAAGGAACCTTAGAACATAGAAGGTTAAAACTAGAAAAAATCTTAAGTATAAAACATTGGAAGTCAGGACTGGCAGGGACCTTAGACATGTTCTCAGCTAAAGTGATTCAGAGCTCCACAAAGCCCCACTTCCCCTGCCCGCCAGTGAGTAATGCTAGATTTGGGGGACCCCACCCTTCCTGCCACCTTTGACAATGATGAATTTTGAAAGGGCTCTGGAGATTCTTTGAGTGGGAAAAAGATGAGCAAACTGCAGACTTAAAGACTTTGTGATTGCGTATAAAAGTGCAAGACAGTAATGATATAGGACCAAGAGGCCTGGACAAGGAAACTCTGGGTCCTGGGGCTCTCTGTACTATTCCATGATTGTGTGACCTTGCATAAGGTACTCTTCCAGCTTTCTGAGCTCCTGTATTTTCCAAATGGAGAAACAGAGGTCCAGAGGGGAGAACTGGCCTGCCCCAAAGCAGTTACACAGTGTCAAAGCCAGGACTCAAAAGCAGGCCCTCAGATTCCTTTGTTCTTTCCCCTCCATCCCTCTGTGGATTTGGAGGGCACTGGAAAACCTACCTTTGTGATAGCCTGTGAGAGTTTCCTGAAGGGGCCCTCCCGGAGGTAGAAGGAACCCACAGAGGGGGATGAGAACGGGATGTGGATATGCATTAAACCACCTCAGGCATTGGTGGCACAGCTGTCCAATGAGTGATGGGTAGAGAGAGGAGAAGGAATAAAGCCTGGCCAGGATCTCCGTGTAGAAAATGCTCTTGTCTAAAAGAAAGAATTATACTTGGTTAGGATTTAGGACAAATAGCCAAGCTCAGGCCCCATGAAAGGATACCCTAAGAAAGGTTTCCTCCTAAAGAAAGCCTTCTAGTTTTCCCATAGGTTGTTAATTATTTTTCACATTCAGTCGCTTCAGGCATGTCTGACCCTTCATAACCCATTTGAGGTTCTCTTGGCAAAGATTCTAAAGCAATTTGCCATTTCCTTCTCCAGGTCATTTTTACAGATAAGGAAACTGAGGCAAACAGGGTTAAGTGACTTGCCCAGAGTCACACTTACATCTGGGGTCAGATGTGAACTCGGGAAGATGAGTCTTCTTGACTTCAGGCCTGGTGCTCTATCCATTGCACCACCTATTGCCCCTATTATTTTATATAAACATAATTGCCTAAAGTTGAAATATATAAGTATAGAGGACTATAATATTAACTCACATTCCTATAGATCTTTAAAGTCTATAAAACATTTTACAAGAACACAAATAAGCATTATTGTCCCCATTTTAGAGAAGAAAAATGAGACCCAGACATTTAATGACTTGCCCTGGGCCACACACAGCCAATAAGTGTCAGAGCAAAGACTTGGACTGATGAAGTGCTTGTGACCTTAAGCCCAACATGCTTTCCATTATACTCTAGTGGAAGAGTTGTAGGGGTCCTGGGGCAAGTAATAGTTATCACTAGTTCCTCCTAAGCAGGGAGAAGAAAACTTTCAAGATGGAAGGGGACTGGTATAATAAATAGAGCACTATGCTTAGAGTCAGGAAGACTCATCTACCTGAGTTCAAATCTGGCCTCAGACACTTACTAGATTTGTGACCCTAGGCAAGTCATTTAACCCTGTTTGCCTCAATTTCCTCATCTGTAAAATGAGCTGGAGAAGGAAATGGCAAACCACTCCAGTATCTCTTCCAAGAATACCCCAAATGGGGTCGTGAAGAATCAGACACAAATGAAGCAATTTAACAACAACAAAAATATATTCAATTTATATAGTTTCTCAGGCAGAGGCATCATAATGTAAGTAGATAGAAAGCTGGCCTTGGAAACCTAAGTTCAAGCCCGACCTTTGACACATACTGGCTGTGTTGCCCTGAGCCAGGCTAGGTAACTCTCTAAGAATATAGGTTTCAGAGAAGATCTTCACTTGCAGTTGGAGAAGGTGTTTATTCACTTGGGAATTCCCTCTACTAATAAAATCACAAGTCTAGTTCCTTTTCCCTATTGGAATTGTTTAGGTGTAGAAGAGGCCACATGTAAAGAAAGGGCTGGCCTTGAATTCAGGAAGACTTGAATTCAAATTTTGCCCTTGGCACTTTACTAGCTGTATGACCATGGGTAAATTACTTAACCTCTCTTAAAGAACACTCTTGAGGCTTAGCTACTAAATTTGATATTGGGGTTGCAATGCTAGAAAAGAGATTTTCCATACTTAAGAAATTTCAAGCCCCTAACACACTCATGTAACTTTCCAAAAGCATATCTGCCACTCCCCTCCCCAAAGTCCTCTCTTGACAAGGCCTTGCCCAGTGGCCCACAAGATCTAATAAGCTAGAAAGCTCGGAGTTCAAATCCTGTGATGGATGGACTGTGGATCTGTTGCCTGTGAGACAGCTTAGCTTAGCAAGGTTGCTTCACTAGGAGAGGTTCAGGACTCAGAGGGCTGGCCATCAGGTGATGAATGTACTGAGGCCTCAGGGAAGGGAGTGCCCACATGGATTAAACTGCAGCCCTTCGATAACTTTGTAATGTCTACCATTTGGTAGCTTGGGAGTGTCTGTCACCAAGTTATATGTCATGCTGGCAATCCATTTCCTTTCTCTAGACCTTAGTTTCCCTAGCTGTACAATAAGGCTCCAGTGCAGCTCTTTCTCCTTTGCATAGATTCGTATGGGTGAACATAATTGCACATCACTGCTCTCTAGTGGTAAATTATGCTCTTGTCTAACCAGGGCTGTAGAATCCGCTTGCCGTTCCTCAGATATTATGGTCCTGGAAAGAGACTGAATTGTGCTCTCCTCAGGGCTGCAGATTTGACTGTTAGCACCCATATGTCTAGTCAGGGGTGGGGAACCTGCGGCCTCGAGGCCACTTGTGGCCCTCTAGCTCCTCAAGTGCGTCCCTTTGACTGAATCCAAGCTTTATACAACACATCCCCTCAATAAAAGGATTGTTCTATAAAACTTGGACTCAGTCAAAAAGCTGTACCCAAGGACCTAGAGGGCCACATGTGGCCTCAAGGCTGCAGGTTCCCCACCCCTGAGTATGCTTATACCTTTAACTAATATATTATATAGAGTCTTAGACTTAAAAAGTCCATAAGAGATTATTTAGCTCAGTGTCTTCATTTTGCAGATGAGAAAAGGGACTTGCCCAAGGGACTTGCTCCAGGCACCCAGGAGCAGAGCCAGGATTAAATTCCAGGCCTCCTAGTTCCCATCTTTCTACTACACCATACTATCTTTTGCTTTCTTGCTAATAACAAATTGCAGGATTCCAGGAGCTGATCCAAGAAGAAAATGCACTGATTTTCTCATGTCAGAAGATGTGGATATTGAAGAGCTAATCTTTTGCCAATGTTATCCAAATCACTGATTGAAAACTCATATTAGAAGCTCAACCTAGAGGAGACTTCTACATCTAGGAGCCCAATCCCAATGTCACTTACCCATGCCCACTGCACGATCTATGGTGGGTCTTGAGAGCTGGATGGCATCACGGATGAGGCTGACTTCAGGACAGTCAGTGTGTTCAGCACAAAGGGCAAAGTCCTCCAGCATGCTTGTGATTCCACTGGAAAGAACTCTACAAGAAATCCAGTCCATGTTCCCTGCAAAGAAGAGTGACAATTTCCAGCTTATGTAGGGGCTAGAAGGCCGAGAGATAGCCCTTCTCCATCCCTAGATGCCGGTGATCTGGTCTGGCTGTTTATGTTTACTATAGTGTATTCAAGGCAGGTTGTTATTGAGAGAAATATTGTTGGCCCCCACAAGCAAAATACTCATAAGGCAATGTTAGCTGGGATATTCCACAACCTCCGTCTGGTCTATTACCCTTTATTAGCTGTTTGTTTTAGTCAATGTGTCTCATTAGGAATTGATCCAATAAAATCTGGCCAGGCACAAGGATGACTGAGTGGGGAATATGTTGGTCTAGCTGTGAGCACTGAGGAAATCAGAAAAGAGTCCTGCATAGGTCAAAAAAGGCATGATGGCCACCACTGATAAGGCCTAGGGTAAGGGCAACATTTCTGAGAATGTAGTTCTGAGTCATGCTTCTTTTTTTTTTTTAACTCCAAGGAGTTTTGTGATGTACCCTCACATCAAATGCCAAAGGGCCAAGCCTTCAGGGGCCTGCATGGATTCTTGTGTCTTGAAAGATCTGGCTAAACCTTAGAGCTTCCTGGGCACTGAAAGAGGTGAAACTAATCAGACACCCAGATTCTGGTTCTGGGTCAGCTGTGAACTTTTCCTCTCTGGGACTTAGTCTCTTCATCTGTAAAATGAGGGGTAGAGATGGATGATCTCTAAGGATCTCTTCTAGATCTTATATTTTATATTTTGTGTCCTAAGGGCCCTCCCAGCTGTGACATCCTGTGTTCTTAGGGCCCTTCCAGCTCTGACAACCTGTGTTCTAAGGACACTACCAGCTCTGATACCCTATATTCTAAGGGCCCTCCCAGCTCTGATACCGTGTTCTATATTTGAAGGTATATTTCTGTTCTTATTATCTGATTCCCTTTTTTCCATCCATAATGATTAATTCTTCCAAATAGGGAAGCTGATATCCTTACCCAGCACATCCTTCTTCAACTCTTCAGTACATCCTGAATTAGCCAGGTGACTGGGCAATTCACTCAATTTCCGAAGATTTGCAACAGTATCTGAAAACCAGAGGGGTTGAGGTGCAACCTGGAAAGATGGGAGGAAAGGGTTACACAGGAAAACATAACTCTGTGAATCTCATTCAAAGGAGCATTACTAGGGAATCTCACCTTCCTGTCAAAGTTCAGTGGTTTTCCCAGGAGGGGCAGAGATATAGGTTTCTTTATACCCTGACTCCAGGTTCCAGTGAAGAATTCAGATAAGAGATGATGCCTCTTAGTTTTCTCTCGTCCTGATAAATAGCGTTCCTTGACCACCTCAGTCAGTTGTCTTAGAAGAAGAGGAACCAGTGGTGAGATAATAGTAATAGCTGACCTTTATATAGAACTTCAAGATTTACAAAGTGTATAGACATCAAAATTGTATCCTCAACAATGCGGGAGAATGTGGAAGAAATATTCAGTACTCTAGGCGTTACAGGCTGGAAGTCTGTCAGAAGCAAATTTATTAAGGAATCCTAAATATCTCTACTTAGGTAGAGAGCAATTTAAAGGGGATAGAGATCCATCTTGCTTTTGAAAGTCTCTCTGATCCAAACTGTTTTCTTCTTTGAATGTATAGGGCTCAAGAACAACGATACAATCCTATAATCAAGATTAAACAAGAGTACAAAGTTCAGGCAACAGTTTTGACTCATTAAGCAGAACAACACTAATAACTTTCGGGTACTTTGGACAATCATTTTCCTAAAACTATTTAATCCCTCTTTAATCACTCCCTCTGAAGATCCATCCTCCAACCTGGTCGAAGGTGAATTCGTTGTATTAATTGAATTACTCAAAAGACCTTCTTGCTCTTAGTCTAATCAATTCTTGGTAGGATTACTTCCTGGTTTTATCAGGCCTTTCCTTTTAGAAACATGTTAGGCTAGGAAAAAGACATTTTAGAACTGATAGTTAAAGAAAGACTATTGAGGTTTACCATTTGGGTTAGACCAAGTAAAATACTGTATTAATATTATTTTGTAATATGTAGTCTAAAGAGGGGAGTAGAGGGGACTCTAGTATGCTTCCACATCTGTGAGGCAGACACTCCAGCAAACATTATTATCCCCATTTTACAGTTGAGGAAACTGAGGCAAACAGCAGTTAAGTGACTTGCCAAGTATCACATAGTCAGGTCTGAGGTCAAATTTCAATTCACGTCTCTCTGATTTCTATTGTTCTATCCACTGTGCCACCTAGCTGCTAAATAGAAGCCCAAGTTAGGGAAGGGGTGAATTCAAGAGTTATTGTGGAAACTTCTTTCAAGATTCAACTCAGGTGCCACCTCATATATGAAACCTTACTTGATCCCCCTATTTGTTGCCAACACTCTCTCCCTCTGGGATTACATCATATTATTTTTCATATATTTTGTATCTATTTATCTGTGTCCATCTTGTTTCCCCACACTATGGATTTATTTTGGCTTTGGCTTTGGCTTTGTATGTCAGCACCTGGTACATAATGCCTAGATGATTAATAAATGTTTTTAATTGAATTGGATTAATGTAAAATTGCCAGGCATTGGCAACTAGATTAGGCATGTTGAGAATGAAGGAGAGAGAGAAGTTTAAGATGCTTTTGAGGTTTCAACCTTGGGGAAGTGGGAGAAAAAGAGGTATTCAGAAGAGTCAGTCATTTCTATCATCAGTAGCCCTAATATGCTATGATAATGTCAGCAGCAGTTGCTAGACTGTTACAAACAAAATTCCATTCCCCCCCCCCTTTTTTTTTAGCAAAGCACTCGAGATTCTGGTCAACCAAGCCATTTCGGTACCATTTTGCCTACCTGTGAGCAAGTCCAAGGAGCATGAAGCCATCTGCAGGTCTCTTCACCAAGCAATCCCCTAGGTCCCGACGGAGCCTCACCCACAGGAGAGGAGGAAAACGAAGGACATCTTTGCTAGGAGGAGTCCACTGCTGATAGACTTCCATCAAAACTTCATCATCCAAAGATAAGACATCCTTCAGCTCTGCTTCTGACAGCCCATACCTGACAGAGAGGATTAGGATTGGGAAGGTGTGGGGGTGGAATATGTCTGAACATCTCCTGAAGGTCTCTGGGCAAATCATCATTTTTTATGATCTGATTTACCAAAAAGGGCTCAGCCTAACCACAGGGAAGTACATGTCTACTGTTCCAAGAACATAATGCTGTGATGTAGGGAGTGTATTATCACCACCATTTTACAGATGAGGTCACTGAGGTACAGAGAGGGAGGAGTGACTTGTACAGGGACACACAGCTAGTAAATATTGGAACTCTAGAATACCCAGATCTCTTGATTCTAATATCTAACACTCTTCCCCCAATACCAAGCTATCTCTCAAGAATGGCCCTTTGAGGAGCTAGGATTACAGCCAAAAATCACCTACCCAACAAAACTGAGTCTAATCCTTCAGAGGAAAAATGGATATTTAATGAAATAGAAACTTTCAAGCATTCCTGATAAAAAAGACCAGAGCTGAATAGAATATTCCTGAAGTGCCTACAATGTGCCAGGCACAATGCTAAGCACTAAGACAAAAATGAAAAAGCTGCTGACTTCTAGGAGCTTATCAATGCTGTATTTTCCCATTTTGTTAAGTTTCCAGATGTATAAATTGAGACAACTTATACACACAAATAAATACACAAAATAAATGAGATAAATTTTTAGAGGACATACTACCAGCTTAGGGGAAATCAGAAGAGTCTTCATGTAGGAGGTGGTACTTGAGCTACATTTTGAAGGAAACAAAGAATTCTAGGAGGAAGAGATAGAGAAGGCACATATTCCAAACACAGAAAACATCCTGGATCCTCAGTAGCTGGATGTACGGTGGGTAAGGATGAAGGCAGTGGAGAGATAGGTTCACTCCTTTTGCAGTTGGTCAGAGGATTTAAACCTTGGATCTAGTGTCGATCCCTGCAACATTTTATAAGCTGTGATGATAACGTCCTTGTAGATCTAGAAATCAGATTAGCACAATGCCCTGATCAAGTAATCTCTGCCTGGAAATAGAGAGGGCTTGGGGAAAAAAACCAATGGACTCAGTCTAGATGCGAACATAATTGACTTCCTTGTAGCATTTGACACTGACCACCCTCTCCTTATGGATAATCTTTCTTCCTTGGATTTTCATGACATTGTTCTCTCCTGGTTCTGGGTAATCCTTTTTGTTCTCTTATGCTGGATCACCATCTGTGCCCTGCCCCCATTTGTACACATATCCCTGGTCTCCAACCACAGCCCTGTTATCCTTTTTCTGTACATATTCCCTCTCCCAAAGACCTTATCATCTCCTATGAGTTCAACTATCATTTCAACACAACCCTCATCTCTCCCCTAAACTTCTCTAGTATCACAGCTGCTTTCTGAACCTCTTTATCAGAGGCCCCATATGTATTTCAAATTTGACATGTCCAAAACTGAGCCAATTCTCTTTCCTCCTAAACTTATCCATCCTCCTAACTTTCCTATTTCTCTCAAGGGAACTACCATTATTCCAAGTCACTCACATTCTCACCCCAGGAGTTATCCTAGACTCTTCTAGGATTTAGACCACATATCCAATCAGTTTACAAGTCTTAACGGTTCTATTAGCATGACATTTCTCAGATCTCTTCCCTTTCTCCATTCATGTGGTTCAGGTCCTTGTCTCCTCTCACCTGGACTCTTACGAGGGCCTTCTAATTAGCCTCCCTGATTCCAGCCTCTCCCTCCTCCATTGCACCCTTCACATAGCTGCCAAGTTTATACAGATCTGAGCATGGCATGCACCTGCCTGAGAAGCTTCAGGGACTCCCCATTGCCTCTAGAACAGAATACAGAGTCCTCCTTTTGGCATTTAACACACTTTACAATCTAGCTGTAACTTTCCTTTCCAAGATCATTAATTACACACCACTCCCCCCTACGCACATACTCTTATGTTCCAACCAATTTGGGCTATTTGCTGTTTTCATACATGGTGGTCCTCTGCTACTTCTCTCCATGCCTAGAAAGCACTCCCTCCTCACCATCACCTCTTGGAATCCCTCAATGCCCACGAGGCTCAGCTGAGTACCATCTCTTACACAACAAGTTTTCCAATTCTTTTGTTACTTCCCCTCCCTCCAAAATAATCACCTATTTGTGGACTCTGAATCCTTGCCCCTTAACACAATGCCTGGCACATAGTAGACGCTTAATACATACTTGGTTGATTGATTGATTGATTGATTGATGACTAATAGTAAGTGGGAAGTGTTTGTGTGCATGTGTTTGGAGGGGTCCATGCCACTTGGGACCCCAATTTCCTCATTTCCAAGATGAAGGGGCTGACCTGGATGATCTTTAAAGTCTCTTCTAGCTCTAAATCTCAAGATCCTGTGTTCTTTCTGGTTCTTTCCAGCTATAAAAATTGAGTAATCCAATCGATCCTGTGATCCGACTTTCTATAGCAGAGATTCTTAACCTTTTTTGTCTTGGGTAACTTTGGCAGCCAGTCTAGGGAAGCCTATGGGCCCCTTATAAAAATAATGTTTTTTAATGAATGAAATAAAATACACAGGATTGCAAAGGAAACCCATTATATTTGAAATACAGTCATCAACATTTTTAAAAGCTTTTTTTTAAAGTTCACAGACCACATGTTATTATTCAATCATATCCAACTCTTCATTATCCCAAGGACATAGGATACTGTCCATGGGATTTCCTTGGCAAAGATACTGGAATGGTTCACCATTTCCTTTTCCAGTGGATTAAGGCAAACAGAGGTTGAGTGACTTACCCAAGGTCACATAGCTAGTAGTGTCTGAGGTCAGATTTTAACTCGGGTCTTCCTGACTCCAGGCCCAATATTCTATCTATTGCACTACCTCAATATTCTCAGACTTAACAGCTGACTTAATGATTCACCTTGGGTGAATCACCTCACTGAGCCTTTGTTCCCTCACTTATAAAATCCAAATGATAATCATTACAATAGTTTCACCTCACAGAGAAGATACGAAGAAAGCACTGTAGACATCAAAACACCAAAGACATATGATTGTTATCATACTAATGATTCTCTGGGAAGCCTAGTAAATGGAGCCCTAGACTTGCAGTCAGGGTCACCTGGGTTCAGATCTCCTCTCCAGCACTTCCTAGCTGTGTGAGCCTGAGCAAGGCCCTGAAGTCTTCCACATCTGTTTCCTTATCTGTCAAATGAAGATTATAAAATTCCACCCTCATAGGGTTGTTATGAAGATCATATGTAACGTACTTTGCAAACCCCAAAGTGCTATAACAAAGTCAGATATTATCACAACTTGTGGCTGAAGTCATGTATGTCTATGTTATGTAAAATGACAATTTACAAAGTGCTTTGTAAATCTTAAAACACTATGTAAATATTGTTGTTTTTATTATTATCCTCACCATTCCCCATGTTTTCTCCCAGTAAAAACAACAATTTAGTAAAACCTGATTCCTCCAAAGTTTCGACTCTTCCTCCAGATGACCCATATTAAGAGCTAAAATTAAACGCCACTCAGCCTCCACTCTCTGTTGGAGATAAGTGACAGCTAATTTAACCCTTCCCTCGCCTCTCTCTGTTCTCCATCCAAGCTAGGACTCTTCATTGATCTTTCTGGTCATATTAGTAGAGAAACAACATTGAATGACTTGTCAAAGTTGTTTTACTTTCATGTCTCCGCCACCTGGTATCTGTGTGACCTTGGGCAAGTGCCTTCACCTCTCTCGGCTTCATTTTCCTCATCTGTATAATGGGAGAATTGGGTTTGATGGTCTCTAGGGTCCTTTCCAGCTGTATACCCATGATATCATGGTTCTACTCTGAGGTGACTGAGGCTGCACCGTCTGGATAGATCATGTAATGATAACTTGCCTACACTCTGGGCAGCACCTGCTTTAGAGAAAATCCCCGAATATTAGAGCTGGAAGGGCCCATGGTGATCATACAGTACAACCCACATTCAAAAAGAATCTCTACGACAGCTTACTTGACAAGTGGTCATGTAGCCTCTGCCTGAAGACCCCCAATGAAAGGGAGCCCATTATGTCCAAAGGCAGCTGCATCTACTTTTGGATAGAATTTTAAGGTGTTTCTTTCTTGACATCAAGCCCAAATTTGCCTCTGCAGCTCTTACTCATTGTTTTTGGTCCTGCCTTCTGGGATATTTGGATGGACTAGCCATCAGAAGACCTGGGCTCCAGCCCCATTAGCTACGTGATCTTAGGCAAATCACTTCACTTCCCCGAAACTGTTTCTGACCACTCCTGAGGCTCCCATTCACTATGGTGTCCCCAAAGGCTCAGACCTGATCTCTCATCTCCCTTTATACTATTTCACTTGGCAATCTCAGCTGCCGTGGATTCAATTATCATCTCTATGCCGATGATTCTCAAATCTACTTATGCAGCCCTAAATTCACTGATGACCTCCAGTCTTAAATCTCCAGCTGCCTACTGGACATCTCAAATGATGTCCCACAGATATCTTAAACTCATCATGTCCAAAATTGAACACATTGATCCCTCCTTCCCCATCTTCTTGACTTCCCTATTACTATTGAAGGTACCACCATCCTCCCAGGCCGCCAGGCTCACAACCTAGGTGTCTCATCCTCTACTTCTCACTCACACCCCTCTCCCCAAATCTAAACTGTTGCCAAGTCCTTTCAGTTCTACCTTTGTAACATCTTTCATATGTGTATTTTAATTCATTCACCTATTCAGATCTCCCTATCTGCATCCTCTACCCATTGCTCCTTGTTCTTGGCCCTCTGGAGCCAAGATGTAAGAAGATTGGAAAGGGGGAGGCAGGGCAAGCTATAAAGGTCTTTGAAGGCCAAATTAAGGATTTTATTTTCGATCCTGAAGTTGCTAGGGAGCCATTAGAGTTTATTGAGTAGAGGGTGACATGGTCAGACCTGTACTTTAGGAAAATCACTCTGCCAGCTGAGTTGATGGATGGACTAGAGAGGAGAGAGATTCACAAGTCTCCTGCCACAGCAGGAAGTAGGGGGCTCCCCTTCATAAGAGGTTCTCAAGGAAATGTTTAGATGACCATTTGTTGAGGACATGGTCATGGGGATATTTGTTCAGATATGGTTTGGACTTCCACATCTTCAATTCTGGGACTCTCCTCCAGCCCTTAAGAAATCCAGAGAGGAATTATGTTCTCCCTCAGATGCCTATTCTCCAGGCTAAAGAGCCGTAGTTCCTTCAACTCCTGCTCATGTGACATGGTCATCAATACTTTCACTACCTTGGTTGTACTCCTCTAGATATGCTCCAGCTTATAAGGTCATAGGACCATCGAACACTAGACTGGAAAGAGACCAACTTGTTAATATATCCATAAAATATGGTGCCAAAATAAATAAGACCACGTATATGAAGTGCTTTGAAACGTAAAACACTATACCCATGCAAATTGTTACAATTATTATTGCATTAAAAGGTAAAACTAAGGGGGCAAGAAAACAAAACTGACTTACCGGGCAGTCACAATATACCCAAGTACATGGGACACTAAGACTCGGCCGTGTAACTCCTCCAAATGGGCACAAAGCTGGTGCATTGCTTGTTGGGCAGTGGTGGCCAGAGAGACAGGTAATGTATAGGATGCCCATCTCTGGGCTTCATCAAAGGCTAGTTTCAGCCTCAAGGGGTGCCCACATTCTGGAAGGCTAGCCCAGAGTAGGTCCTGCTGAGCAGGGCTCAGCTTCCGCCTCACAGATGCCAAAAGGAGCTCAATCATCTTCTGACCTTGCTCCCCAGAGAGTGGCTTCACTTCAAAATAAGCCTCAGAGCTAGTGACCATCTCCTGCATGGTTTTTAAGGTTCCAGGCTCTGCTAGGCAAACAGAGAGGATGAAGTGGACTTTTGAGGGGCACTTTTTAGGCAGCCACGTTAGGCCTCTTGCTCCATAGGTTGAGTTCAGGTCCCCAACTGCATCCAGTATGATCACAAGTGACTCAACATTTCTGCTAGAAACCAGGAAGAGGAGATCTTGAAAGAACTGGACAGCACAGCTATAAACAGCCATGACTCTGGCAGGTGGGAGTGGCAAACCATATGCTAAGCACACCTGGAGACAAATGCTATTCAATAAAAGGCAGATGTTGGAACTTGCCTGGGATGTTCCGAGGAGTCGTAGCACCAGCACTGTCTTTTGTCCCAGGAAGTCTTGGATGTGCTCTGATATTTTGCACATCAGAGCTGTCTTTCCAACTCCAGGAGGCCCCAGAACAACCAGGGGAGTGTGGTTGGTGCCATCATTTGCTGCGACGGCCTTTCCAATTTTGCTCAGGAGTTCCTCCCTCCCACAAAACACTTGGCACTTGTCCTTGCACTGGGTCGTGTGGTGATGCAGCTCCTGAAAGAAAGGGCCCAGCATCTGGTTGCCCTCTTTCTGGTGGCGAAGGCGCTCGAGAATCTGATGGTTGACTGTGTCAATAAACTGCTCTCCCAGCTCCTTCAGGTACTTAGCATGTGCTCGGTTCTTTGGGTTCATCAGGTCCTGGCTCCACTGGACAAAGTGCACCTTCAGCAGTTTGGGGTGGTTGTCTGTAATTCTCACTTTGAGGCTGGTGAGGAAGTTCTGAGCTTCCATGTCGAGACAGCCATCCTCCTGCCGGTCTACCATTGGTAAGTTACACTCATCCAGAATGTGCTTATTCAGATCCCTGATTTCTCTAAGGAAAACTGTTGCTGCTAGGTCACCGTCACTGCTACCTACATTCAGAAGGCCATGTTCTATTTCCCATTCGATTACTGCAAAAGCAGAAACAGATTGGGATTGAGAATTCAGTTGTAAACTGACAATCTCCAAATACAATAATCTCAAGATCAACCCATTTTCCAATGAAAGGAAGAAAACTGGGACGGGGAAGTGGGGAGTCTAGGGCTTTCTTTGCCTCAGAATGCCAAATTTGAGCTGTCCTGACAATACTTATAGTCCATGAGCAGCATAGAAACCATAGAATTTAGTATCTAGTAAACAGGAATAATTAGTTAAAATAGGAAGCTGCCAATAATGCCAACCAGGTGCAGTGCCTTGAACTGGTGTTTCAGGATTTCTTTCCCCCACAGAGCAGACTTTGCCAAATGACAGAGTGCTTAAGGTGACTTATCTGGGGCATAGGTTTTTTGGTACTCGGCCCAGGTGCTGGCTTCAGCTCTGGCGACAGGCAGCTGGTGTCATGGGCAAGAGGACTAAATTAGAAGGCCAGGCCTTGGAGTCCAGTCCCAGCTCTGACATTTACTAGCCATGTGTCTTTAGGCCCATCACTTTACTGCTCTGAGTTTCAGTGTCTTCATCTGTAAAAGGTAAAAATAATACTTCTACTATCTGCCTCACAGGTTGTTGTGAGGAAAACATAATTGTAAGCCATTGTGATTCCAAGATGAACAGTGGACACTAATAGCTAGGTGGCATAGTGGATGGAGTGCCGGGCCTGGAGTCATCTTCATGAATTTAAATCTGGTCTCAGACACTTACTAGCTGGATGACCCTGGGCAAGTCACTTAACCCTGTTTGTCTCAGTTTCCTCATCTATAAAATGATCTGAAGAAGGAAATAGTAAACCACTCTAGTGTACTCGCCAAGAAAACCCCAGTGGGGTCACAAAGAATCAGACATGACTGGAAAACTACTGAACAATAACAAAAATACACCTGAAGGAGGAGTATATCTCACTACTCTACCTCTTTGTAATTATAATAATAACAGAGTCTAGGATTTATAGAACCTCTCCCTGCCAGGAGAACCAAGCATTTCAGTGCACATTTTATGTAATAAACTAAAGATTGCAGTTTTTTAATTAAGAAGAGAAAACTGTGGCATGATAAATGTGGGAGATGGCCTTGGAGACGGAAAGACCAATGCCTCTGATACAAATGGAGTCAGTGACCCTGGGCAGCTGTCACAGAATCATACATCTAAAGCTGGAAGGAATCACAAGGAAATCTAGTCCAACTCCTTCATTTTACAGAGGAGGAGACTGAGCAAAGGGTAATTAAATGACATCCAAATTCTCACCCATAGTGAGCACCAGAAGAAGGATTTGAACTCCGATCCGCTGGCTCCAGAGACAGTGATCAATCTTTCCAGTGTCCCACCTTTCTAACACTACAACCCTATAAGCTATGTCAGTCTGTAATGACAGAGGGAGTTTTCACACAGGGTATTTTCCCATGTGGATGAAATTACAAGTCCAAGCAATAACAACCAAAAAAACCCCCATGAAAACCAAAAAGGGAGACCACAAATGCTGACCCTGTAGTGGAGTTTATCTCATTTTACAAAACAGTTCCTGAAAAAGTGCCAATTTCCATAAATCAAAAGATAGCATGTAACTCTGAATACAGAAAACCTTATTTTCCTTCCCCCAGAACCCTGGGTCAAGCCTAGCTTGTATAAAGCCTAAATGTGGCCTATAATTGCTAATGCTTCTCAGTATCCCTGAAAGTTTTTTTTTGGTTTGTTTCCTTTCAAAGAGATGTATGTTAGGAGTGTGGCCTAAGCTTGGGGTGGCCTCTACTCAGACCAACAGGATAATTTTTAAAAGTTAATCCAATAATTGAGATAAGAGATAAGTCCTAAAGGGCAAGTCACATTCCCCTTTCTTTCTCCATCTATGAAATGGAGATAATAATACATATATATATACCTATTTCACCAGGCTGTATGAGGAAAGTATTTTGCAAAGGAAGGACATTGATAAGATGGCACATGGCAGCTGGGATGGTGAGGGGTCTTAAAATCAATCCAGATGAATATCAGTGGAAAGAACTAGGAATGAAGAAGAGAAGCCTTAGGTAAGGCATGTAAATGGTCCTCAAAAATTTGAAGGAATGAGATGGATTCTTCCTAGAAATGGTGGAAGTTTCAGGGAGGCAGTTTTAGGCCCGGTATAAGGAAGAACTTCCCAACTATAACTGTCCAGCAGATGCACTGCCTCAAGAGGTAGCAGTTTCTTCCTCCTGGGAGGTCTTTGAGCAGAGACTAGATGAACATCCACGGGAGGGATTACTGCTAAGATACAGGTTGGACTAGACGGTCCCATCCAGCTCTTATGTTCTTGGAGTTTTTGAAACATTTATCGAATTAAAAAGTTGTCATGACCAAAAAAATCCAGATCACCACCGTTTGGATATGTTGTAATCAGGGCAGCAGAGTGCGCGGATTTAGAGAATCCACCCCAAATATCTGCACGGACTCTTTGTGCCCACCTGGTGGCAGGACATTCCGAGCTTGTATGGGCTCTATCAGCCACCACAGGACACACTGTAACTTGACTCTAGCATACTGGTGCCGTTTGGTCGTCTTCAAGAGCAGACGACAATCAACCAACCAGCCAGCCAGCTGGGGCAGCTAGGTGGTGTAATGGATACAGCAAGGGCCTGGCATGGTGGCCGTGTGATCTTGAGCGAGTCACTTAACTTCTGTTTCCTTCAGTTTCTTCAGCTGTAATATGGGGATAATGATAGCACCTGCCTCCCAGACATGTTGTTATATGTTGTTGAAATATATTTGTAAAGCATTTAGCACAGTACCTAGTACAAAGCAGGCACTATATAAATGCTAGCTATATCACTATAGAAATATGAGTTGTTATTCTTACCAAGGCACTTAGGAGTGAATCCTCTACCCTTCTCTAATGGCTTCATGCGGTCTGGAGGTCTACCTGGCTTCTCAGAGAGTATACCAGTGAAGCCTAAGCTCCATTGGGCCCCACCAAGCTGGAAAGGCCTAAAGTACAGGGCCAGCTGGCTCTGAGTGCCTGTCCAAGAATCAGCCAAGCAATTATAGAGAGGCTAAGAAATTGAACCTCTCTCAGACCTAGAAATGATCTCACAATGCACTCTATCTCTGACGTCACTAAAAGTGACCATCCAGATTCCCTTTGAAGACGTCTATCCAGAGGCAAGCTACTGCCATAAAAGGCAGCTTAGCAGGGTTTTGGAGAACGAGGACATGAGTTCAAATTCTGGCTCTCCCATTTGCCATTATGTGTGACCTTTAGCAAATCAGGTAACCCCTTTGGACTTCAGCTACCTCTTGTTGAGTCATTTCAGTCATGTCTGATTCTTTGTGACCCCAAAGGGTTTTCTTGGCAAAGATACTGGGATGGTTTGCCATTTCCTTTTCGGGCTCATTTTACAGATAAGGAAACTGAGGCAAACGGGGTTAAGTGACTTACCCAGGGTCACACAGCTAGTAAATGTCTGAGGCCAGATTTTACTCCAGGGCCAGCACTGTATCCAGTAAGGCACGTATCTGCCTCCAGTTACCTCCATCCGTAAGACGACAGGGTTGAAATAGATGACGCCTAAAGTCCCTTAAAATTCTAAATCTATGCCACTTGAATTGTTAGGATACTTTTCCTTGTAACAAACTAAAACTTGCTACTGTGTGACTTCTCCCCACAACTGCTCCTGATTTGTTAACTTCCTTCTCTCTTCAAGGCAGTGTGCTAAACATTGAGGATAAAAAGGTGAAAAATAACAGTCCTTGCAGTAAAGGGGCTTGCATTGTAGCAATAGGGAAAATAAGACATGTATAAATAGATATATTTGTGTAACATGTGTAATATTTAACTGGAGCAAGAGTGTGGTGGGAATCCACTGACTTTTGTTCTATTTCTTCCACCTTCTACAGAGCAAGACATGTGTTATCCAAAAGCAAGAGAGATGAAGCCTTTTTCTTGCTCTCGTGTCTTAATGAGGGGCTGACTCTTCCTGGTTGAGTTATCAATCATCTCTGACATAATCCCCTAGTCACGGGACCTGCCAGCAGTTGCTGGGTGGTACATGTCCTTTAGAAAGGAGCCAGAACACACGGCCCCAAAGAGAGTGGCTGATGCATGTCACCCCTATCATAAATGTGAAACAAAGAGAATTTAAAGAAGGGTCACTTTCAGCTGGGATATCAGAGGATCATCAAAAGAGTTACTTTGATAGCTAGCTATCATACATTCATAATAGATTAATTTTGGGGAGGGGAAGGGTGCTGCAGAAACTCCTGAAGGTCATCCACTAAGGAATGGAAGGGTTGTGATCTGTGCCAAGGGAAGGAGGAAACACACTGATGAACCAGGAATCTTCTGAGGCTTTAAAGATTGTAACAAATTGTGCACTGTTCCTAGGGCCCTAATCATTACTGTTTTGATCCAAATTTAGGTCAGACTTTTCCCCTAAATCTGGCTTGTATAAAATTCAAGTACAGTCTTTGATATGTGTTGTTTTTCAGTTTATACCTGAATACTATTTCCTTTCCAAAGAGATTTCATAGGGTGGCAGCCAACATTGGATATAGCTTCTATCCACAAGTATTGAATTCCACAATGAATATATAGAAGAGTTCCCATAGAAAATCAATTTGGGGACCAGAGATGATAAAAAAATCACTTTAAGAATGCACCATAACTTTTAAAACTGTAAGTATAAAGGGAAAAGGATAATAAATGTATTTAGTGCCATAATTAGTAAAGCATAGCTGAGGCCTTGCCTTGGGTTACTGAATTTAGAGAATTTAAACAGCATTTAAAGTCCTTTACCAACTGAGGAACAACAGAGCTCAATACCTAGGTTGTAAGAATTAGTTCAAAGAGGAAGCTACCAGATCAATCTCATTTCCTCCCTACTAGGGAGTCATATTTCAGATTAAAGCTTCCCTGATCCTCTCCCACCACACCTCACTAAGGTGTGTTTCCTATCACTTCTCCCTGGCACAAAAATTGCTTATTACAGTTCTGATTTGTGATTTTAAAATAATAGCAATCTACCACTGTTTCATTGTGTGATCTTCATCAAGACCTCTTCTGTTTCTGGACCTCAGTTTTCTTACATGTAAAATGAGAAGGTTCAATGACAGTCTCTATTGCCCCTTCCAGCCTTCAAGTTCTATGGTTTTGTCGTTCTCTAAGCAATACTCAGAGGTCCCAAAGTACAAATACTTTATAGAAACCTCATATATACTCAAAACTTCATTCTTCTAGCCTACCACAAATGTCCCCTTTTAAAATCCCAAACTTAGGTTTTGTTTTATTGCTTCATTCTTGTGGTTCCTCCCATTAGTTTTAATTGTTCTTTACATCATGACTAATGGGAAAATATGCTTGATATGAATGTATAAGTAGAGCCTTTTTCAGATTACATGCCAATTTGGGTGGTAGGGAGAGATGTGGAAGGGGGAGAAAATTTAAAACTCAAAATCTTAAGGAAGTAAATGTTGAAAACTAAAAATAAGTCAATTACCAAGAAGAAATTTTTTTAAAAAACAAACCCCCAAATTTATGTTTTTTTTTCTAAAGGGTTTATCTTTGTGCTAACCCTTCAAATGTTTGTTTAGTATCCTCCACCACTGTTTCATGATAAGGAATAGCATATCTTTATGCACAGCAGGAGACTGGGTACCCCTAAAAGAAAAGTCCATGATTTGTTATTTCCTTAGGCCCCATTTCCACACCTCTGTTTCAGTTCAGCAGGATATACTGTTAGGGCAGTAATTCTCCTCTCTTTGAAATCTAGATTTTTCTAGACTGCCAAAACTGAGAGAGACCTCATTGCTATTAGGGACCTTAGAACATAAAGAGCCATAACTGGGAGGGCTTAAATCAAATGTCAGAGTTGAAAAGGACCTTAGAGCTGCAGAATGTCAGTTTCCTGGGATCATAAGAACATGGAATGTCAGAGCTGGGTAGAATACTAGGAGCAAAGAATGACAGACATTAGCCAGAATTTTGGAGCTGGAAGGGCCTTTGGATTATAGAATGTCAAAACAGAAAAGGAACTTAGAACATAAAACCAAGTACATAAAATGTCACAGTCTGAAATGGAACTCAGAATGCAGAACATGCAATGTCAGAGCTGGGAGGGAAGTTCCACCCCCTCATTTTACAGACGAGGAAACTGAAGCCCACGAAAGGGAAGGGCCAAGGTCACACAGTGAGGTGCTAAGGTTGCTTCACGATAGCCCTAACTTTTTATAGCTAAGGTGAACAATTCAGTAGAAATTATGGAAGATGTTCAGATAATAAGGGTACATTATGTGAAACAAATCGGACTTGGGGTAGAAGAAGATTCAGGAGACTTTCAAGTACCCACTCTGTTGCTGTTTTTGTTTGTTTCGCCAGGTAGAATCAGGCTACAACATACAGAGAGGAAGTAAATGACTTCATATCACACAAAATCAGTAAGAATTAGAATCTAGGACTCATGACTCCTGTTTGATCAACTAGACTTTCACTTTGAATCACTTGCTTTTTGCAGTGAGGGTATTCCCAAAGCTCATGTCTCTTTCCTTTCCCAAATCAGTGCAGTTAAGTGAAATAAGCACTAGTAGAGTTGGAGGCAAAGGACCTGAGTTCGAGTCCCACCTCAGACACTAGTTATGTGACCTTGGGCAAGTCACTTTAAGCCTATGGGCTTCAATACACTACCTGCCTAACAGGGTTGTGAAGATCAGATGAGAAACCATATTCAAAACTATTTGGTAACCTGTAAAGCCCTGTACAAGTAATAAGTAACTATATAACATTAGCACTAAAGGGGACCTTAAAGCCCCTTTCCCCAAATGAGGAAACTAAGATCCAGAGAGAGGAAAGGAATTGCCCGAAGTTATAATGCAATTAGAAGCTAATATTCATAACCACAAGTATCTGGTGATTTCTCCCAAAAATATTTGCTTACTGTTGTGTAGACCCAGTTTTAATAGCCAGATACACCTTAAAGCTTTCTCCAAAGAGGTTAATTTGTTTTGAAATTAACTTCTGATGAGAGAAGTTATTTTTGAAGATGCTTTAACCTCAGTGGGAAACTCCCAGCCACAGGAGCACGGCGACAGTTCCTCAGAGACAAGCCTAGATCCCAACTCACTCAGATACCTAACCAGCACAGCACAGGCCTTCTGACCCAAGAACCAAAGGCCTTTCATAATGTTTACTACGTAAATGGCAGAGTTTTGGAAAGAAGAAAGGAAGGAAGGAAGGAAGGAAGGAAGGAAGGAAGGAAGGAAGGAAGTGAGGGAGGAAGGAAGGAAGGAAAGGAAAGAGAGGGAAGAAGAAATGGAGGAAGAGGGGCAGCTAGGTGGCACAGTGCATAGAGCTCTGGCCTTGGAGTCAGGAGGACCTGAGTTCAAATCTGGCCTTAGACACTTGACACTTACTAGCTGTGTGACCCTGGGCAAGTCACTTAACACCGACTGCCTCACCAAAAAGCAAAAAAAGGGGGGGGGAGGAAGGGAAGGAGGAGAGAGGAAGGGATAAAGGAAGGAAGGAGTTAGAGGTCTAGGACTCTTCTCTGGCAGTGAGTCTGACCAGAACTCTAGGATGCCAACAAAGCCATTCATTCATTCCTTATTTGAAATAATGCTTTCCTTACAACAACCCTAGATATATTTGATTGCCTGCTTTCATATTCTACAAATAAGAAAGCTGAGGCTCAGACCACAGCCAGGAAGTGGTAGACCTGGACTTAAACTCAAGTCTCTTAACTTTGGGAGCAGCACTCTTTCCACTCTACCACACTTCCTATTACTCAACAGCATTGATTTTTTTCCTTGACCTCCACATAAGTCACCATCCCCTCCCCAACCCCCAACTCTCACCAAAAGACCTACTTCTACCAAAGCCTTCATATTACCTTAGAATTTCAGAGGTAGAAGAGCTCTCCAAGGTCATCAAATCCAAGGCCCTGCCCAATGCAGGAATCCCTTCTTTTCCAGTATCCCAGATAAGTGCTCATCTTGTCTCGAAACAGGCAATGAGGTTTAATGGAATTAACTCTGGATCTGGAGACATAAGATCTTGGGGAAAGTCCAGATTCTCTCATTTACTGACCTTATTGACCTATTACTAACTTTGGGCAAATTATCCCACCACTCTAAGCTTCAGTTTTCTCATCTGCAAAGTGAGAGAATATTATGTACCTGTCAGGGATGTTGGGAGGACAGCACTTTGTAAAGTAAGTTGTATATAAGTGTGAACTATTATTATCCGTTCTCTGCTTGAACACCTCTCAAGGGAGTGCATTCCATTTTTGGATAGCTCTGATGATTAGAAAGTTCTTCTTTATTTTGAAATGACCAAAATCTATCTCCCTATAACTTCTACTCATTTGTCCTAGTTCTCCTTTCCCCCTGCATAGAGAAAAACAAAACAAAATATAACAAAAACCTGTTTTCCACATGACAACCCTTCAGATACTAGAAGATAATGATCACATTCCACTTAAGGCTTCCATTCTTCTTCAAGTAGGGCAAGATCTAGAACTTAAAAGGATCCTAGAGTGCTAGTAGATTTCCAAGGTTCCTTTTTCCTTACTATCTATGATCTGAGTCCATTTTGCAGATTAGGAAGCAAAGGCCCAGAGAGGTGAAGTGATTTCCTCAAGATTATATCACTAATAGGGAACAAAGCCAAGATTCTAAACCAGGTCACCTGGTTCTAAATCCCATTGCTTTTTTCAGTAGACCACTTCATAATATGCTCTGGGTAGTCCCCTAACTGTGGACCTGTTATCCAAGGACCAGCCTAACTAAGTGTGGAAAGCATTGTCATCAAAGGTTTGGCTACTAGAGAAAGGGTAGGTTTTGGCCACAGAAATCCCTTGAAAGACTGTTTACCAAGGTGGTAATCTGTATAGGTAGAAAAGCTATTAGCACTGATGAAATTAGACATCATTTTTTAAGTAGCAAACACTTTAATGGCGCTTTAGGGTTTATTAATCACTTTCTTCACAACAACCAGGTAAGGTATAATTGTCCCCATTTAATAGATGAAGAAAGTGAGACTAGTCCACAGCCACACAGCTAGAAAGTATCATTATTAGAACTTGAACCCAGATCTTCATACTCCCAGACCCAACCCCTTCCCACTCCATTACAGTGAATATTTTACTTTTCTTGATTAAAATAGCAAATCACTGGTCAGTGGCTAAGAGGATGCATTGCAACTACTTCCTTATCCTTTCCTTAATGATTAGAGATCTAGGTAGTACTTTGGAGAAAGTGCAGGACTTGGAGTCATTTCCCAACTGCAGTTTTCTAGCTGTATGACTTTAGACTAGTCACTTGACTGAAAGTCAGTTTCCTCATCTGTAAAATGAGACTGATAATCTTCATACTACCTTCCTCACGGGATGGTAGTGAGCAAAGTACTCTGTAAACTCTAAAATGCTATAGAAATGGGAACTGTTATTAGCCTCAGAGAAAAACGCTTTTAGTCCGTCTGTGCTCTGTGAGGGCTGCACCTGATTTGTGGTATCGAAGCTTCTGCTCTCTGCTGATCAAGCCTTGCCTCTCCGCCTCCTGGGCTGCTGATCGCAGGGCCGTGGCCAAGCTGCTTTCTGCCTTCTTCCAGGCTGCACAGTCCCCATGCTGCTGATTCTGGTACTGGGGCAAGTGTGTGGTGATGGGCTGCAGGATGTAGACCGGAGGGACTGCATTTTCATCCTTCCAGAACCACTGGGCCAGGAGGGTAAGGCTGTTCGGGTTTTTTGTGAGCTGGGCACACAAGGCCTGGAACTCCTTCTCTTCAATCAGTCGGGGAATAGGGCAGTGTCCATACTGATCACCCACGAGTGCCTGCCGCAGAGGGTGTAGAGAGACACTGTCGTATACACAATAATTGGGATAGGACTTACACCAAGGGCTGAGATCTGAGGGGTCTCTATCCAGAAGCATTACCCCTACCTAGGCCAATGGGACCTCATGTCTTAAAGCTTTCAGCTTTAGGAATCTGAGAGGGTACAGGGACAGACTCTGGAGCTACTAAAAGTGAGTTTTCATGCTTACTAGCAGCTTTCATTGATTTAGAATATGGGTCACGGGTGGAAAGTGAGAATTAGTCCATCCTGGGGTGATGGAGCTAGCTAGGAAGGATCTTAGAATACAGAATGTCAAAGGTGAGAGGGAACCTAGTCTAGATCTCTCTTTTAACAGATGAGAAAACTGGGTCCCATAGAAGGGAAAGTCTTTTTCCCAGAATTCTAACAGGGAGTCATTCATAGAACCAAGAGCCTAGGTCTTCTAATTCCCAACCCAAAGCTACTAACTTTTTGTGTAACCTTGAGAGAGGTGCTTGACCTTTCTGGGCCTAAAGGTCCTCATTTCTAAAATGAAAGAATTCAAATCTAAGAGCTTTTCCTACTCTCCAACATCCTATCTTTTCTGTTTCCCTCATTTCAGAGTGGAATGTTCTAAGGTTCTTAGGTTCTGATCTTCTATGCTTTCAATTCTTCCCAGCTCAGACATCCTATTTCTGAGGCTCCTCTCAGGTCTAATATTCTGTGTTCTAGATGCCCTCTTAGCTCTGACATTTTTCTTTCTAAGGTCCCTCCCAGCTCTGACATTCTGGGTCACTGGCCAACTATTTCATTGTAGTCACAGGAAGTTTTAAACAGCCATTGAAAAGAACTAAAAAAAAAAAAAAGGAAAAGAAAACCATCACCAAGTCTGCTTGGCCCACAACACCTGTTTTGAAAGACATTCTGATTGCTTGTTTCCCCTAAAGGCCCCAAACCCCCTAATGGAGAAGCCTTTGGGGAAAATGTGGGTTTATACAACAGCCTAATGACTTATTTACTAGAGAGATGGTTCCCTAAGGACTTAGAGGTCAATTTGGATTTTCATGGAAAGTCACTCAAGATTCCTCAGCCTTTCAAAGGACATTGAGATTTGTTTCCACTTGGGTTCAGTTATCGTGGGATCATAATTCCAAAACTGGAAAGGACTTCAGAGGCCACCTAATCCAGCCCTCTTGTTTTACAAATGAAGAAACTGGGGCCTGGGGGAAGTGAAGTGATTTGCCTAAGGTCATCCAGGTAGTGGAATTTGAACCCAGATTCTTTTTTCTCTGTGTTTCCTTTCTTGTCTTATAAAGGAAGGATAGAATCACTACAAGTAAAGGGGATGAGGTAAGGTCTGGCCTGAAGGCTTATCAGTAGAGGATGGGGGGAAGTGGGAAGGCAGGAAAGGGGGAGTGTTCCTGGATAAGTCATTTCTAATCTTCTTGTACAGTTTCCTAAATCCCTCAAATTTTAAGTCTTCCCTCTTAGACTGGGCATCAGCATCATTTGTATTAGCTCTTCCCAGCAAATTCTCAGTGATTTACTTCAATCGCAGTTCTTGTCTGAAGAAGCTGTCCCAAAATATAAGACACTACCTGCCCTACCCTCATCCCAAAATGTCATCTCTTTGAAAGAAAAAAATACTTAAGGATAAACAGAAAATAATATGGATTATAAACTGCACTAAGATTTTAAACAACCCAGATTTAGGGGGGGAAGAGCAGCCTCTATATGGATCAATACAGTATTGATTTGGTATTAGGCATGTTGCATCCATTCACTACTAAATGCCTTAATAATAATACCCTATATTTGCACAGTGATTTTTTAAAAAATCCTTCATAGCTATACCCAAATATTACATTGGTATCCACTGGTATTAAAAGACCTAGAGGGAAGACTTCTAGTCCATTGGGTAAATCCTCTCTGCAGGACTGATGGAAAGACAGAGTCATACAAGAGAAAAAGATATTGATGAGTTTGCCATCTGAACTTTTTTTACATCCATGAGATCAAAGATCAACTAAATACAGTGAAGTATTTCATGATGAGTGCCTTCACATCTGTACTATTAATAACTCATACTTCCATAGTACATTATAGTTTATAAGATTCTTGAAAACATCATGAAAGCCCATTTTATAAATGGGAAGACCAAAGGCCAGAGAGGGTAAGTGGCTTGTCAAAAGTTATATTAATTAATACATGGCAGAGTCAAAACTTAAATCTTGGTCTGCCCTCTTCCAGCTACTCAAGGCTGCCCCTCCTCCCCGTTCCTTTTTGTCCCCCTCCACAATTTCCATCACAAAGACTTTGCATAATAAACATTTCTGAAGGAATAGATTGGTTGATTAGGGCTACCTGTGGGCAGGCAAGATGGTTCAGCTGCTTTGGCCAGAGTGTGTCAAATTCTGTTGTACAGGGATGCCCTTTGAAGTGTGGGTAAGTGATAGCCACCAGAGGTACAGTAGGGAAGGCTAGATTCTCCAATGCCCCTGTCATTCTGGTAGGTGAGCTCTACTATGTGAGCTTTCTGCCTTATCTTTCCCAGGACCAGAACTCCACTCTACTTTAGGGCCTTCTTCATACCATGCTTTTATTTCCTTCCTTCTCTCTTTCCAGTTCCCCTTTATATATTAGAATTTAAGCTTCTCTAGGGGAGGAATTATCTTGCTTACTTGTACTTGAATCCACAGCTCCTGGCACATAGTAAGTACTTAATAAATGCTTTATCTATCTATCTATCTACCTACCTACCTGTTTATTCTTCTATCTCAGTTTAGTTTTGTCCCCACCTCTCCACTGGGGTTCCTGCCAGCAGCAATGCCTAGCCAGTTCCCTGAGCCCTAGACAAGGGTGGAACTCAATCTGTGAGGAGATTGGCCATTATTGTGATAAGGGTCAACCAGGCCTGAAGAGCCGTGCAGCAGAAGGTAATAGCACTAAATTATTCTTTTGTCATGCCTTTTCATATAGCCAAATTGTGTAAAGCTAGGTTCCCGGTTGTCCTTCTCCTGCTCAATTATAAACTCCCTGAGAACGAAGACTGCTCTCCCTTTCCCTTTCATCTTTGCATCCTCAGTACCCAGTATGTGCCTAGCATATAGCAGGTGATTAATGAATTCCTCTTGATGGATTGATTGCTTACTATAAAAGTGGGTCCTGCGGAGAGTTTCTGACACATTGCAATCTCCTCCAAGCACAGGTCAGTGGTTGTGTGGTCCACAGCCTCCAAGGCAGGGAGACCCCACCTCAGATCTACCACCTGGGGAAGACAGCAATCACACAGTGAGTTGGAAAAAGGCCAGCTGTAGAGAAGCCTGTGGGTCCAGATGAGAGAAAGAGGTTACTGTCCCTATTAAGCCTATTCTGAATAATGGACACACAACATGTCAAAATGTAACTTAATGGAAGAGATTCCATGTTTTATGTCCTCAGGTTTCTAGAGGCAGTGTGGTAGAGTAGTAATAAACCTAAACTCAGAATCAGTAGAGACCTGGGAAGAATAGTACCTATGGTGGCAGCGAGGTGGCACAGTAGATGGAGCACCGACTCTGAAGTCAGGAGGACCTGAGTTCAAATCTAGCCTCAAAACCAAACACTTGACACTTACTAGCTGTGTGACCCTGGGCAAGTCACTTAACCCAAATTGCCTAAAAATAAAAATGAAAATAAAAAAAAGAATAGTACTTATGGTTAGCACTTAAAGGCATCTAAATTCAATTACAAAGAACAATCTTAGTTCCATAGGACAGATGATAAAACATATGTTCTTCTTGATAGAGAGATGAGAGACTTACATGTCCACAGTGTTGCATATGCTGTCAGATGCAATCTAAATTCAGTAATGGTTAGTTTTGCTAAACTATTTTTCTTAAATACAAGGGAGGTTTTTTGGGGGTAGAGGAAGTGAGTGTGATATAAAAAAGGTATCAATAAAACTTCAAAATAATAGTAATAATATCTGTACCTGCCTCACAGAATCATTGAGAGGATTAAATAGCATAATATTTAGAAAATGTGGGGCAGCTAGGTGGCACAGTGGATAGAGCACCAGCCCTGGAGTCAGGAGGACCAGAGTTCAAATCCAGCCTCAGACAATGACTAGCTGTGTGACCCTGAGCAAGTCACTTAACCTCAATTACCTCACCAAAAAAAGAAAAAGAAATAAAATGAAAATGCTTTTTAAAAAATTAGTGTTTTCATCACACCTATCAATTGGCCAACATGACAAAACAGGAAAATGATAAATGTTGGAGAAGATGTGGGAAAATTGGAACACTAATGCACTGTTGGTAGAGTTGTGAAATGATCCAACCATTTTGGAGAACAATTTGGAACTATGCCCAGAGGGCTACAAAAATGTGCATACCTTTTGATCCAGCAATAGCACTTCTAGGGTTATATCCCAAAGAGATCAAACAAACGGGAAAAGGACCAACATGTACAAAAATATACATAGCAGCTCTTTTTGTGGTGACAAAGAATTGGAAATTGAGAGGATGCCCATCAATTGGGGAATGGCTGCGCAAGTTGTGGTATATGAATGTGATGGAATACTATTGTGCTATAAGAAATGATGAGCAGGTGGACTTCAGAAAAACCTGGAAAGACTTGTATGATCTGATGCTGAGTGAAGTGAGCAGAACCAAGAGAACATTGTACACAATAACAGCCACGTTGTGCGATGACTAATATTGATAAACTTAACCCTTCTCAGCAATACAAGGATCTAAGACATCTCCAGAGGCCTCGTGATGGAAAATGCTATTCACATCCAAAGAAAGGACTATGGAATTTGAATTGCTCTATTTTTTTCTCTTCTGATGAGTTTTGTTTCCTCTTTCTGATGGTTCCTCCTATTGATTTTAATTTTTACTTACAACTTCACTAATGTGAAAGAAAATATGTTTAATAGGAAAGTAAATGTATAGCCTGTATCAGACTGTGCGCCTTCTTGGGGAGGGTGGTGGGGAGGAAGGGGGAGAAAAATTTAAAACTCAAAAGCATATGGAAGTGATTGTTGATAAATCAAAATAAATTAATAAAATAAATAAAAAAATAAAAATTAGTGTTTTGCTTTATAATTGTCAGAAATTATTATTAAGGTCCCTACCAATTCTAATATTCCAATGCTATATATTCTAATGTTCCTTCCTGCTCTAACATCCTTTAACTCTATTGGATGATTTACCTAAATGGAATGCTTTTTTTGAAAAAGAGTTTTATTGATACCTTTTGTTTTTACAGTCATTTCCCCATACTCCACCCCACCCTAATTTCCAGACTGAATAAAAAATAACAATAATCAAAACCATACAGTGCTTAGCACAGTGTCTGGTATACAGTAAGCCCTTAATAAATGTTTGTTGGCTTGACCATAGTTTTCAACCATTCCCCAAATGATAAGCACCAACTATATTTTGTTTCCACTTCTTTACTGCCATAAAAGTATTGCTGTACACATTTTAGTATGTTTTGGACCTTTGTTTTGGTCTCTGACTTCTTTGGGGTAGTAGATGTTTAGGTTGTTGTTGGTTCGTGTCCCCCTCTGAGTGACCCCATTTGGAGTTTTCTTCACATGGTTTGTCCGTTTCTGGTTTCCTTCTCCAGCTCATTTTCACAGATGAGGAGCTGAGGCAAAGAGGGTTAGGAGACTTGCCCACTACGCCACCTAGCTGCAGTATATTTAGGAGTCAATTGCTAAGTCAAATTGTAGGGATTATATGGATAGCTTAGTCATTTTTCTTTCATAATTCCACATTAAAATGCAAAATAGTTGAACTACTTCACAGCTATACCAACAGTAAATTAGAGGGCATATTTCCCCATCAGTCCTCAAAAACTGATTATTCTTATCTTTTGTCACCTTTACAAGTTTGCTGCAATAAGGTAAACCTTCAGAGTTATTTTAATGTTCATTTCTCTCTTATATTTTGGAGCATTGTCATGTGGTATTTATCATTTACAAATTTTCTTTTTAAACTCCATATCAGGGCAGGTAGGTGGTGCAGTGGATAGAGCTCTGGCCTTGGAGTCAGGGGGACCTGAGTTCAAATCTAGCCTCAAACCAAACACTTGACACTTACTAGCTGTGTGACCCTGGGGAAGTCACTTAACCCCAATTGCCTCACCAAAAAGGCAAAAAAAAAAAAGAATTCACCACTTAGTCATAGTTGCAAAAGGTATCTGATCTTACTCTTCTGATTTTTTTTTTTACAATATGGACTTTAATATTCAGGTAAATACACCCATTTTGTGATTATCATGGTATGTAGTATAAAATGCTGTTCTAATCCTAATTTCTACTAAACTGTTTTCCAGTTTATCAGGCAGCTCCTGTTAAAAAACTAGTCTTTCCTTAGTAATTTTTGGTCTAGGGTTTATCAAATATAGTACTATGGATTTTGACATATTTTCCTGGTTTTCTTAATCAATATCAAATAATTTGATGAATACTGCTCTATAATATACTGTAGTATAACATCTGGTAATGTTATGCCCCCTTGATTTGTGCTTTTCCTTGTTATGTTCCTTGAGATTCTAGACCTTTTGTTCTTCCATGTGAATTTTGTTATCATTTTGTCTAGTTCTAAGAAGTATTCTTTCAGTGGTTTGATGAGTATAGCATTAAATTTATAAATTAATTTAGGTAGTATTGTAATTTTTATTATATTAGCAGAACCTAACCATGATCAGTTGCTATTTCTACAATTATTTAAGCCTCTCTTTATTCGTAGTAGTATTTATAGATATCCATGTGTGTTTTAGTCCCAGATATTTTATGCATTTAATTATTATTTTGAATGGCATCTCCATATTTATCTGGAGTTTTTTGCTGTCGTTGTTATTAAGTGCAGATAGGGATAGGGACTGGACCTGTGAATTTATTGTTATTGTTGTTGAATAGCGAGATGAGGAAATTCCTTCTACCAATGCAAGTCAACACCTTCTCTCAAACTTAGAGTCAGAGAATTTTCTAGAGGTCTGAGAAGTTAAATGAGTGAACCACAGTCACGTAGAAAGTATGAGTCAAAGGTGGGACCAGAACCCACCTCCTTCTGGCTCTGGGGTTAGTTTTTGATCCACTGTGCAATTCTACTTCTCTCTCTGTGTGTCTCTGTCTCTGTCTCTGTCTCTGTCTCTCTCTTCTGGTATATATAGTTGATAGATCTCTGACATTTTATGTTAAAAACTCTACAGCTCAATAATTTTACCCATTGTAAAATCTGCAAGAGACCAAGAGGAAGAATAGGCTGCAGAGGTCAGAAGTCTGGTTTTCTTTGTTTCCTTCTTTTCTTCTTCTTCCTTCTCTTCTTTCCTTCTTACTTCCTTTTTCTTTCTTTCCTTCCTTCCTCCCTGCCTTCCTTTCTTCCCTCTCTTTGATGATTTTGTGGGGTTATTTTGTATCGCACAATCCTGCCATAGCTATTAATTGTCTCAATTAGTTTCTTCAGTGATCCTTTGGAGATTTCTAGATACAATATCATGTCCTCTATAAGTAGGCACCGTCTTGTCTCCTTGTGGCCAGTGTTTGTCCCTTTGATCTTGTTCCCTTTTCTTATTGCTACTAGACTTTCTAGAACCATGTCAAATTATCATGAGGAGAGGGGGCATCCTTGCTTTATCTCTCTTTCTACTGGGAACATTTTTAGTATTTCTCTGTTGTAAACAATACTGGCTCTTGGCTCTAAGTATATGATTTTGATCATATTAAAGAAACTCCTTCCATACCTATGCTTTTTAGGATTTTTAACATAAAGGAGTGCTTATTTTTGTCAAAAGTTTTTTCCGCATCTGTTGATGTAATCATAATTTTTGTTATCTTTGTTGTTTTTATGATTAGTTATGGTAATTATTTTCCTAATGTTGAACTTTTTTTTTTTGGTGAGTCAGTGGGGGTTAAGTGACTTGCCTAGAGTCACACAGCTAGTGAGTGTTTTGTGTCTGATGTTGAACCATTCTTAATCCCTTCTATGAATCTAACTTGATCACAGTGAGTTCTTTTCTGGATATATTTCTGTAGCCTCTTCCGAAGGATTTTACCTAAAGGTTTTGCATTAATATTCATTCGTGAGTTTGACCTAATTATTATTCTCTGTTTTGTCTTTCATCTCTTTGGTTATCAGGACCATATTTGCCTCATAAAAGGAGTCTGGTAGAATGATTTATTTCTCTATTTTTGAGAATAACTTTTTTTTTAGCATGAGTATTAATTAAACATTTGATAAAATTCACTTGTAAATCATTTAGCCCAGGTTTTTTTTTTCTCTTCCTTTGGCAATTCATTTATGCCTTATTTGATATCTTTTTCTGAAGTTTGCTTATGTGAGATATTTATTTTTTTAGCACCATAGATCTCAAAGGCACCTCACAAGTCGTCTAGTCTAACACTCTCTTTTACAGATAAAGAACCAAGGTACTAAGAAGTCAAGTGATTTGCCCAAGAACACACAAATAATAAACATCGGGGATAAGAACTGAACTCAGGTCCTCTAATTCTAGAGCCATTGATCTTTCCACTGTATCACACTATTACTTTGGGTATTATATATTTTTGTAGAATCTCGTCATATCTTTTGACTTCTATTTTTTTTGGCATATAATTGTGTGTAGTAAGTTTTTTTCTCTCTCTCTTATGAATTCACCTTGTACATTTTTTATTTTGTTAATTTGATGTTCTACTGTTTTTCTTGATCAGACTGATCAGTGTTTTATTGATTTTCTTTGCCTTGAAAAAAACAGCTCCTAGTTTCATCAGTTCTATAGTCAGTATTTTTACCTTTATTTCTGCTCCAATTTTCAAGATTTCTTATTTTGTGTTTATTTTAAGGTTGCTAATTTGTTTATTCTCTAGTCTTTATGATTGAATGCTTAGTTCACTAGTGCTCTCTTTTTCCATTTTGTTAATATAAGTTTCCAAATATAAAAGTTTTCCTCTGAGAGCTTCTTTAGCTGCATGCCAAAAATTTGGGTATATTGTTTCACTGTTATTATCTTTAACATAAGTATTTATTGTTTCTACGATTTATTCTTTGATCCAATAGTATTTTAGGATGCCATTACGTAGTCTCTACTTAGTTGTACATCATTAATGCATTTCCTTTATTCAATACTAATCTTATTGTTTTATGTTCCATAAATTATATTGTAAATATCAGCCTTTTTACATTTTCGGTGATATCTCTATGCCTAGCACACAATCGAACTCTTGTAAATATATTTTGTAAATATTAACAGTCTCATTCAGAAGTTTCTGTAGGTCAGTCAAATTCAACTTATCCAACAATTTGCTCAGCTCTATATTTTCCTTATCTTTTGTTACCTTTATCCGGTTCTGAAAAAGGAATATTAAAAATATTAAAATATTAATATTAAAAATGTTAAAATTATTATGTGTCGTTGTCAATGTCTTCTTTAAAATCACAGCTTTTCTTTTAAGAATTTAGTGGCTATGATACTTGGTGCATGTAAATTTAGTAATTTTTCATAGTCTATGGTACCTTTGAGCATAATATAATTTCCTTGTTTGTTTTTCTTGAATTGTAAAATTTGCTTTATCTGAGATCATGATCTTTTTTCCCCCAGTCCCTTAAAAAGTAAGAGACTTTGTTTCAGCCCCTACTTTTCATTCTGCAGGTGGTTTCATTTTTAAATTTATTTCTTGTATGCAGCAAATTGCTGGGTTTTGCTCTTTTATCCATTCCTTTATTTTTTATTTTTGTTGGGAAATTTAATCCATTCACATTTAAGATTTTGATTGTTAAGTTTGTGTTTTCTTCCACTGACTACCAATGTGATATGTATATATGTGTATAATATAAATTTATCATCTCTTTCAAATGAGCACTTAATCATTGCCATTTGTTTTGCTTATCCAAATTTAAAGTTGGTCCTCTCACTCCAGCTATTGCTGCCTAGTCCCAAGCTCCTTACTGGATTAACCCTCCCTTTTTCCAACTTAGATAAGAGTGTGCTACCTAGTTCTTCCTCTTCCTCCTACCTCATCTATTTTTTAATTTCCATTACATTAATTTGTAACACCCTTTCTAAGAAATGTTGTTTTCCTTCTAACCTTTTTCCTTATTTCTTACCCCTTCTAGTATTCTCTAGAATCTATTTCTAGGAATGATAATTCTTAATGGAGTTAATGGGGCATAATTCCATAATTCTCCTTTAGGGGATCCAGTTCCTAAAGAGAATGCTTTGAAAACTATAAAGGGCATACAAAAGTGAGCAATTATTATCATGTTTAACTTTTGACCTCAGCAACACAAAGTCATTCTATTGTCTTAAAGTAGGGGGTAGACATGATGATTTTCAAAGATCCTGTGACCCCCACAATTATTCAGTTTGCCCACAAGGAACTAGTCCCAATGACAGAACCAGAAAAGCCAGTGTTACCTCCAACATTAATCCATGCTTCTGACAAAACGTCTGTACTTCAGGGTATGCAGCTCCCAGTAGAGCCTCTCTCTCTGCATCCATGTCTGAAAGATATCAGCAGGGAAGAATTCATTTAGTCTGAAGTAAATCAGAGAGAATCCATATGGAAATACATCATCAGGGGCAGCTAGGGGGGGCAGTGGATAGAGGACTGACCCTGGAGTCAGGAGGACCTGAGTTCAAATCCGGCCTCAGACACTTGACCCTTTCTAGCTGTGTGACCCTGGGCAAGTCACTTAACCACGATTGCCTCACGAGAAAAAAAGAAAGAAAAAGAAAGAAAGAAAGAAAGAAAGAAAGAAAGAAAGAAAGAAAGAAAGAAAGAAAGAAAGAAAGAAGAAAGAAGAAAGAAAAAGAAAGAAAGAAAGAAAATACATCATCAAACAATAGGAGAATATGAATAGGAGCAGCTGCCATTCCTGTCCTTACCTGGGGCATTTTGAAACAGGGGATTCTCCTCTCTGTTTGAAATGTGATCCTATTCATTTCCTGTCAGCAAGAGGAGTGTTTGGAGCTTACACTCCTAGGTTTATGCTAAACCACCCACATTCTCCTACCAGGCCTCCCCTGTGACCAGTGGCAAACAAGAGTCCCTGGCCTGCCCTGGCCAGCAAGGGCAGCCAGTATCTATGGAAGAGGTGCCTGTACACAGCTGAAGATGGGGCTGGTGGCAGAGTCCTTGGTGAAGCGGGGAGAGCACGGAATTTAGGGTCAGATTGGATTCCTGGTTCTGCTGCTTACTCACTGTATGGCCTTGGGCAAGTAGCTTACCCTCTCTGAGCTTCTTTTCTGCCATCTGTGATGATGTAATCCCTGACAAGCTCGTAATCATAAACATATTCCCTGGCAAGAAGGGATGTCCTGGAGCTAGCTCATACCAGCTCATAAAAACCAATTATTATATTTTCAAGGTGAGTATTTATACCTCAGAAATCAGCAAAAGCTACAAATCAGGACTTGAGTTATTGTTTTGTTGATTTCTACACTTAAGAAAGCAATGGAGAAAATGTTAATAATTCAGATTAAACTTAAAAGAGTGTCCAGTATACTTTTTTCTTAGAGAGCTACCTGTTAAATGTTTACCAGCATATCCCTGCTTGCAAGCCTACCTCACAGATTGATGGAAAAGACCTAATGAAAAACTGAAGGTAGGAATAAATGCTTTGAAAACTCCAAGTGAAGACTGACAAAGAAATGTGACGCCCAAAGGACTCCGGGCTGACCCCAGGCCAGCCTCTGATCATGGGGGCTGACCCCAAAGAGTAATTTCTCTTTTTGGCTCTTTGTTGTCACCTGGAGTTAATTCAGGAAAATCTCCAAAATAAAGCTTGGGTGTGGCTTTGGTTTATGCTTTCCTAAAAGTGAATAACAAGGTCCCCTGGTACATAGTAGGTGCTTAATAAATGCTTATTGACTGACTGACTGAACCAAATCCTAAACAGGCACTCACTGTACATTAGTATTGAGTAAGAGACCACCCTATTTCACCCCGTAGAAAATGCTTAGGACATTAAAGACTGACAGAGCTCAGGAACAGAGAAACCTAAAGAACTCAAGTGGCCCACCAGCTCCCCCTGAAAGGGCACAGAACTTAGAGGGGATGTCATTGTCATCACACTCTGGTTGAGGCCTCACCAGCACCACACATTAGCTGAACTAGCCAACAAAACTCACGTAGGCAAAATAAAGGCATGACACTGGCCAGGGAGTGCAGAAGAAAAGAAGGAAAGGTTAGGGTCAGGGCTGGGTCCTGAAGGGAGAGTGACAGCATCAAATGATGGCATGTCCCATTATACCAAAGGTCAGTAAACTTGTCTTCTGGGACTGATTGTCCCACTAATTTTCTATGTAGTCTTGTACAAATAATTTTCACTCCTGAGCCCCAGATTTCCCCTCTATAAATTGAAGTTGGACTCTAAGGTCTCTTTCAATGCTAATACTCTGTTAGATGTTGTAAAAAAAAAAAACCAATCCCTCTGGATATGATCCATTATGTTCTAAAGCTCCTCCCAAATCTGATATCTTATGCTTATGTTCCAGGAACTTTGCCACTTGAGGTAATATGCCACAGTAGAAAGAATGCTGGCTCTTGGGTCAGAGGACCTGGGTTCAAATTTCACTTCTAAGATTTACTACCTGTATAACTTTGGGCAAGTCACTTAACTCCTCTGGGCCTCAGTTTCTTAATCTGTAAAATTATAGGGCTGGACTAGGTTCTTAAATTCTTTCTAGCAATAAATCTGCTACCCTCTGTTCTAAGGTCTCTTCCTACTATGACCTTGTATCTCCTAAGATTCTTCTCAGCCCTGATGTTCTTAGTTCATGGGTCCCTGCCAGCTCTGATAATCTGGGATTTGATGATTTTGGGAGGGGCTGAGACCCTTTGCTTAATTTTTTTGACCCGAATGTAGCTATGATTCTATGTAGTCACTTTAAACATCTCAGCAAGCCATGGAAAGGTCAGCAATGCAAAGTTATCTTCCCCAGGGAGAGCACAAGCAGATTTCTGGCAGAATTCGGAGTTGAAAAGAACTAAAGAAGCCATATAGTCATTCAACTTGTGCCTAATCAAGAATTACATCTACAAAATACCCAACAAGAGGCCATCCAGTCTGAATGAAGATCTCTGGTGATGAGTGATGGGGCTCTCACTGTTTACTAAGGCAGCCCATCCCATTGTGGGTAGCTTTAATTGTTCATGAGTCATCCATTACACAAAGCCTAAATCTGCCCCTATGTGCAGCTTCCAACCACAGCTTCTAATTCTGCTCTCTGGGGCAAAGCAGAGGTGTAACTAGGGCATGGCAAACAGGCCTTTGCCCAAGGATACCAAAATTTTCAAGGCACTGACAGCACTTGGCAAGGCATAGAATCAGAATTTCAGACATGGAAGGGTCCTTTCCAATGCTAAAATTTTATAACTATAAATATCCTCATTTTACAAATGAGGGAACTGAAGTTCAAAAAAGTCATTACCAAACCAACAGCATGGTTGTGTTTGTAAAACTTATTTCCTTTTCATATTGGTTCTTTCGAGACAAATTCTAGTTTTCAAATGGCACTTCTTGGGGATGGTATAGGTCCTACCTCCTCCTATAAGAATGGAA